ATCTAGAGGTTACGAACGGACAGCTTCAATATGTCTCTCGAAACCATCACGACCATCTCGCCCTCCACGAATCAGCCAGTTGTCACTCGGACGGGCGTCACCTCCGAGGACCTACAACGGATCCCGGAGGTCGCGCAGGAGGCCTTCCGATCATTCTCTCAGTCTACCTCTCTCAAACAGCGTCAAGAGATTGTCACTCGTGCATTGGACATCCTCGAGAAAAAGAAAGATGAGCTTGCGCGCGAGCTAACCGAGCAGATGGGTCGCCCGATCGCATATACCGGTGTGGAGGTAATGACAGCTATCAAGCGCAGTCGCTACCTGACCAAGATCAGTGACTCGGTCCTGGGTGACGAGGGCGTTGTCCCCGGTGAAGAGGAGAAGGGCTTCAGGCGCTATATCAAGCGGAAGCCCGTTGGTGTGGCCTTTATCATATTTGCCTGGAACGTACGTTAGCATTACACTTTGGTTTGAGTTACTCGCAGGGGAAATATACTAACGTTTGACTTTCCATGGAATAGTACCCCTATTTGATCCTTGTCAACAGTTTGATCCCTGCTATTCTGGCCGGAAATGCTGTCATTTTGAAACCCTCCCCTCAAACTCCGACCATAGTAGAGCAATTTGCCACTGCCTTCACCGAGGCCGGGCTGCCTCAAAACGTCATCCAATATTTCCACTGTGGATCCCCTACATTACTTGAAACTATTGTCCGGTCACCTTTGGTTGACCACATATGTTTCACCGGCTCCGTGGCTGGTGGCTTGGCCGTTCAAAGGGCCGCGTCAGACCGCATTGTCAATGTTGGGCTGGAGCTCGGTGGCAAAGACCCAGCTTATGTTCGGGACGATGTGGATGCGGCGTGGGCCGCGGAGGAGGTCGTTGACGGAGCTATCTTCAACAGTGGACAAAGCTGCTGTGCGATCGAGAGGGTCTACGTGCACAAGAATATCTACGATACCTTCGTTGAGGAAGTCAAGAAGGTCCTAGGCAAGTATCGTGTCGGAGATCCGTTTGACAAGCAAACGCAGATCGGACCTGTAATTTCAAAGCGTGCGAGGGACACGATTCAGTCCCATATCGCCGATGCGGTCCAGAAGGGTGCCAAGGATGAAACTCCAGCAAATGAGACATTTGAAAACCCTCCTACGGGTGGAAACTACGTCAAGCCTACGCTTCTGACGGGCGTGAACCATGACATGGTTGTTATGACGGAGGAGACCTTTGGACCTGTCATTCCTGTTATGAAGGTCAACAGCGACGAGGAAGCTATTAGGCTGATGAACAACAGCGAGTTTGGACTGACTGCCAGTGTCTGGACCAAGGATGTGGCTAGGGCTGAGGAACTAGTTGAGCAGGTGGAGGCGGGAACTGTCTTCATTAACCGATCTGACTATCCTAGTCCGGTGAGTTCTAATATGGACCAATATCTGATTGCCTTGGTGGACCTAAAATGATGCTGACTGTTTCAGGATCTCGCATGGACCGGCTGGAAGAATTCCGGACGGGGCGTAACTCTCAGTCGATTCGGATTTGAGCAATTTGTCAAGCTCAAGAGCCACCATATCAAAGCTTACCCTAAATAAAGTGGATCTCTTTTAGTTGCAATGATTAATGAATGTCAACGATCATATATAGCAGGATAGACTAAAATGATCAACGCGAACTAGGGTACGATTGCTTAGGAGCAGGTCCCTGGAGATATATGGGGGAAACCTAATACCTCCTCGCTCCCTTTTTCTAGTGGTTATAATCTATAGACAAACAGCTACTTGCCCCACTGTCATGGATACCCACACATTCGGTTGATTCTGAATGATGAATATGATTGCCGATCCCCCCAAGCTCGCAACATGTACCCAAGAATATATTTTTTCGCAGTGGAGAATATAGAGCAACCCAAAAAGCCGACAAGGACAACACGAGCAACCCTAAACAATAACCAATACACGTAAGTATCACTTAAAAACTCATATATCCAAGCATGACTATATATGTAGGCTAAGTCGCACACAATTACTTGACAACAAAACTAGGCAAGAGTAAGATTTATTAATCTATTTGCCTATTATACATAAATTAGGTGCGATCTTCAACAACTAGTTTCCATAGTCTAGTGGTTAGGACGGCGGTCTCATAGCGATATGACAATTCCTAGCTAAAGGAGTTGCAATCCGCAAGCACGAGTTCGATTCTCGTTGGAAGCACATATCTTTTTGCATTTAGTTTTTCTAACTTCCTCCCTGGGACGAGATCTCTGTTTGAATATCCATTCGCATAAATTTAAAATAGGTACGGCGTACTCCTACTCGTTTACCCAAACCCAAATGGTACTTTTACACATCATTGATGTGAATACCGTCCAGGCCAGATCTGATCTCACACCCGACCAACAAGACCGTTCTAGATCGACGCTTGGCCTGCTTCCGCTTGCATTTCTATTTTCGACGCCTCCGTATGAAGGCCACATATGTACCATAATCAAGATGCAGTCGCTTCTAGATCCCCTGAATAACTTCTATTCATGTACCGATTACTCTTTATGTATCTAACACATATGTCATTACTAAAGAAAGAATAACGTATGGAGACCCGATTACGCAGTCCACCCTATAACAGACGCCCCGGGGTAAAACACAAGATCCTCAAAGAAACGAGTGTACGTTCATTGGGGCCCCATAACGCCCATGTTATGAAAATCATTCTTGAGAGGATTAATAAAGTCATACGAATAGCGAAGGCATCAACTGGATCGGAAGATCACTTCGCCTAAGTCAATGGATGGGTTCTCTAATCTCTATCATAGTTTTCGGCCGATGGGGTATGTATCGACGATCCATACATTGATCAGTTCAGCGCAGCCAGACATATCATGAATCGTAGATAACATGGCCCCGACCCAATCATCATGCCACTCACCTCATCATTTCCCCTATTCTTCTCCACGGAGTACAAGGCAGATACTGCTGTATCTAGGCATCCGAATCCACAGAAACCACATCCTCCGGAATAGGTAACTCTCAGCTAATCTACACCGCCAATAAATCGGATTTCGACCAGTCATTCCAGGGCCCCAACATACCTAACCCTCGCCTCCATCTTAGGCTTTTCCCTTTTCTTTTCCGAAATGGGGCGCAAACGGGGCAAAAGGGAGTAGCGAAGATGTGAGAAAGTGAAGTAAGTGGGTATGCGGTGACCGATCCACTGATCTCCCGCCCGCTTCCCCCCCCAGACCCCATTTCAATGCCCCCTCATCTATCCGTCCCCTTTCTGTTTTCTTTCTTTCGATGAATTCTCCGTGCGGAGTGGAATAGGGGGAGTGACTTCGAAAGTCAAGAAAGAAAGCGCAACTAGACCGGGAACGATAGCTGGGAAAGGGAGGGACACACGAATCTGCCGTCCTTTTTTTTTGCGCGTAATATTTAGCCACTGGGAATGCGTGAAGTCAGCTAGGTGTTTCCTGACGCAAGGGAGAACAAATTCCGGGCTGAGGACATCTCTTGCTCGGACTTGGGGGCCGTGGAATGCAATAATATCGTGTTTAATTGGGGAATGGAGGATGGACTCTCGGGTCTCGGAGTGCTATCTATTCCCTTTCCCTTTTTATTTCTTTTCCCCTTTTTTTCTTTAGTTCCTTGTAATAAGATTGCTGACTGGCCGTGTTTGAAATATGACTGGGGTGGTTCCATTTGATCTTTGATTGAATTCTATGAAAATAGTTGTTAGTCCTGTACTCCGCATACACTATGTGGAATGTTCCATGGAACCAAAATGCCCTTTCTTTGATTAGCGTTTCGATTTCATGTGCTCAAGTGGGTTTATGGATATCGGAAGTTTGTTGGGTCTGTTTATTTTTTGGTTAAATTCTATTTCGTCGCGATCTGTGATATGGCGGTTGGGAAACAATGGGAATTATTGATTGGATTGATCAGTCTTTCCAGTGGAATGCCAGATGTAAGCGATTACGCGCGCGCGCCCCAAGAGTTAGTCTTTACTGGTGCACTGCCGCCTCCCGAGACTATTCTGGACCCTGAGGCCAACTCACTAAAGTTTCATGGGAACATGCATGGAACCGAAAAAGAAAAGAAAGATAAAAAAAAAATAATAAAACAATTCATCGTACAGCTTAGGCGCTGCCGTAGTTACAGGTTGCTGGAGAAATCGACGTGGGCTGCGCACCAATGGATATGCTAGATAGGAGACTTGGATTACGATCTTTAGACGCCTTGCTATTATGTATGCGCCGTCGTCGATAGGCTCTTGCCTGCCTCAGACAAGTGTTACGCCAGCATTTCTTGCATGCATGTTACTGTATTAAACGGTTAAATGAGGCAAGAAGGGGGATGAGGACCAAAAAAAGAAAATAATAGTATAATCTTAATTTTCGAAAAAAGGGAAAAACCATTCACGCCATTTCATTCGGCCAAGTCATCTTGAGCCCTGAGAGAGATACCCGCTTTTTTCTGCTGCGAGGGGATAACTGCCAAAGGAATGTGTCACATAACGCGGTACGAAAGGAACATAAGGCTGTCACTGTTGGCTTCATGCCACAGAATGTGCCGATCGGGTTAAGTCTGCATTTTGCACGGGCGAAACCGTTAATTCATCTAGCTGGCTGGCGAAGTTTTTTTTTCTTTCGAAGAATCTCGGTATATATCATCGTCCTGCCTCCCTCCATTGTGTCAAAAGGTTTGTCTTTTTCTTCTCCGGCCAGTGTCTCCGATGTCATAGAACATCCGCCAGTCTGTCTTTCGTTCTGTTTTTAGTACCTTTCTTTCGGGCCATCGTCTCTCTTTCATTCTGACCGCGTCCTTCATTTCCATAGAATATCTTGCAGAAAGCGTCCACTCCCTTTTGTCTTTTACGATACCGGTTTTTAGTCCTTTGCTTGTTTCGATCCTGCGGTAGATAGTGGTCGATCAGCGCATATTGCATCTCAATTCGATTCGACCTAATTGACTACGAATTTTCTTCCTTCCGAAATCCCCAGCCTTGAAATTATGGAGTGCTTCCGGCAAATTGGTCGACTGGTCAAGGCCCCATTCCAGCGTGACTCGCATCACAAGGCATTGGAAATTGTAAGTAAAGGTCTTGAAACTAAGATTTGACCTGGAAAATGCAACTGACAACGGGTTCAGGGGCCCCCAACAAACTTCCGAAAGGAGGAAATGCCGACGTTCTTCCCAGATGACGAGTCAGTACATGTTAGCACCAAACCTCGGGAGACTGTTTCTGACAATACCGTTCACAGTGCTCAAACGTTACATAGCCACAGCTCTTCCCTCGAGAAGGATGCAATGATCAAGACCTTGGAGCGTGAACCCTCAACGCGCCAACGGATCAAGAACAATGTCCGAAGACTGAGTGTCAGAGTAGCCCGGCCAGTTTCAGAACACGAAGACTGAGGCCGTTCGCTCAAAGCCGGCATGGAATGTCAGGCTTACCGAACTTTAGAAGTTGTGCCACCAGATTGGAATCAAGGGGGACCGGATTGGCTGTGAAATCATCTCGCTCAAACCATCTGTGGATTCAAAGCAGGAAAGTTGGAACTTCGTTGAGACGCGATTTCTTCGACTGCGGATTGTTCCCACGGGGTGGGTTTTCCTGTCGGGCTTTCCTGATAGACGGTGAAGAAACTCGACCCTGTACTTGTACGTCTGAATGTTGTAGCTCTGGCAGCTCATCAAAATCATCATCAAAAAGCAATCTCCTCCTGGGTTGGGTAGCGGTTGGTGTCTTGTATCTAGCATTGATAGACTGCACTTTTTTCCCCCGGTCCTTTGTAGGGGTCAAAGGGCTATGTTGAGATTTCGACGACATCGAATCAGAACTAATGAGACGTGCTTTCTGAGTAGGCCTCGGTGTTTCGTGTTGTAGATCTAGGTCATCGTCTTCCGAAGCTGTTTCGTCAACATCAAGACTTATGCCTGCTTCATATATCCTTGGTGGCGAACTATTAATTGCTCCTGAATCCCTCCCCGTGCTAGATGACTGTGAAAATCCCGCAGCCGCCCTGGTCGATGACTTGATCCCCTGCATACCTACTAATGACCTTGTCTTCCTAGGACTCATCATTAGACCATGCAGCGATGTCCCCGCCCACATTTCATCCTCAACCTCTTCATTCTCTTTTTCGGAATCCACCCGCGGCCGCTTACTCTGTATCTGCTCCAGCCCAGCCTTCTGGCGTGCAGAAAGTGCATCAGCAGCATCTCTCCGTCTGGTAACGTCGCTAACAGGCGTTACCCCATCGGTCGGCCTGGCCAGGTTCTGGATCGCCGCAGCATTTTGTAATTTGACCTCCTTCTTTCGCTTCGCGTATTCCGCATAGTGAAGATGCTGCGTAAAAGATTGGGCCACGGCGTAGAATTCGTCTTCGACCATGATGTAAATGTCATCGTTCGACAAACCCTCGATTAAAAACCTAATTATAATCGACCGCCCATATTAACAACGGTTCCCTTGAGCTTGGCTAGCGGAAAGGGTAAAGGAAAACGGACTCTTCAGATGGACGGCGGTGAATGGGAGATGATGGCGGAGTCGGGGCTATACTAGATTGTTAGTTTTGATGCGTACCATTTCCCCTTGGTACACTATACATGATTTGAAGAAGTCTCGTTTCTTCGGACTAGAATCGGGCGCGCTCGCTCTGGGAGTCGCATTGCCGTCATTGTTTTTGTCGCTTTTGTCTTTTACCGCTCGTTTGGGCGTGGGGTTCTTGCTGCTTTTGCTGCTTCCTGTGCCGGTGAGCCATGGTAGCGTGCGAGGCATCCTGTCTGAGGTTCAGGGACGTTGAGATGCGACTAGACTAGATGAAATCGCGTGTCATTCTCGTTTCACCCTTCTTTGGTCTTGGACAGATTGAATGTGGGCAAAGGTGTGACGCGAATGAGGCGCGATAAGAGATGACGGGACGCGGGAGGGCTTCCGCCCCGCCTCCGCATGATCACTTTACTGAATGTAGTAAGGTAATGTCCTCTCGACCTGATCTATTTGGAGTAGAGGGGCAACTCAACCTGGGAGTAAAGCTCACTACCTGGATATCAGGAGATTTTACTTCCTATCCGTACAGAACATGCTGTAAAAAACCCGCGTCCATCTTGGGTATCGATTTGTTCTAAGCACCGTTTGCACAGCAAGATTTGTAATACACATGCAGTCAATGTTATGTCCCCAACGCCACATAAAAAACCCCCTAATATCAAGAAATCCATGCCCCAGTCAACCCGATGCTGACATTATCGCAACGCCGGTCCGGAAAAAAGGACCCAAGGGAACAAAATAAAGCACAAAGAGCCATGAATGTCTGGGAACGATAGGTCACTATGCCTCGCCGGGGCGCTTGCTGTTGCAGCTCACAATCTTGACTTTATCTGCTTGCACAGTCGTCTGGTTGTCCAGTTTGAAAGTGACGTCTTTGATGAGGAATGTCCATACTTCGTCGCAGAAGCGATATGTATCCAGATGGCCCTGTTGGGAGAGAGAAACCGTGTTAATCTTTGATATTCGATAGACGAGGCTGGCGGGACTTCTCTGATACGGTGTTCCGCAGGATATATTTACCTTGAAAGTAAGCCTTGCGCGCACTTTGTCTGCGAGAACCTCGGTAATCACTCGATCGAAAGTGGAAAGAATCTTCATGGCGAGCTGGGGCTCGATTCGGCCTTCATTGATCAAGTCATCGAGGGTATCGGTAAGGGACAGGCCCAGGCTGTAATAGGAAACGGGTTAGTGAATGTTTGAGCACATTACGTTAGCCAGTCAGTACCTGCTCCCGCGATAAAGCTCGTAATACGCTTGTGCATTGCTCATGGTGCCGAGTATGGAGCGATCGAGGGAGATAGTTGGGGTGATAGGAGCTGGTGAGAGTTGCCTGAGTGATATGGCCCCGTCGTGGGGAGTATCTGCACGTGATCTAAATTGATATCATGTGATCAATATCCAGATTATTACATCAAATTACATCAATGATTGATTTCGTGAAAACAATTTATAGCAATGATAATTCCTGAAATTGGTGCTCTGATCAGCCAAATGTGGAAACTTTCACTATTGCAGAATCCTGCGAGGTTCCTACCAATGCGATTGATATATTCTCCATCGAGACAACTATCCTTTACTACGCAGTGGCTATCCGATACTAAGAATGGTTTGTCTAGACACTGGTATTGATCTTAAAGATCGTCGGCTTAATGGGACCAGCAGATACATATTATGAATCAAGCAAACAGCCAGAGATCATGTCAAAAGATAGTTCAACATTCCAAACTGGCAAGCAAGTGAAGCCAGAAAAGGCCAGGACTGTTTCGCAGGCGGACGAGGAACTTCGTCAAAAATTAGAGCAGATGTCTGGCGGGGGAGGAGCCGCTGGGATAGAATATGAAGATGGCAAGCCTAGTGCCATGAAGCGAAGTGTTCGAAATAACATGTTCCGCTATATTTGAACGACCACCGACTATTCAGCCACCTCATGAGGATCAGCGCCACAAAGATGAAGCTGAAGAGACTGCTGTTGGGCTTTACCTATGTCAGATTAGCCTGTATTTTGGCCTGAATGGTGGCAAAAGTTCTATATTCAAAGCACAAATGAATGCTGGACAAGGATCTATGGCAGCACCTCTCTTACTAGGTGCCACAGAAGGCCATACGACACCAGGAACTTACTCCAATCACCCGAATCATATTTTCTAACCAATGCAGATAATTGTCATGCGCTGGGCGGCTTTTCCCATCTACTGCGTTGAAGAACTGGTCGAGATGCTCGATTTAAGAGTCCATCAATCTAATAAACGCAATTTAAAATGAAGCGGTAGCCATGTCAAATAGACAATAATGCAAGATTAGTTAAGAAGCAAGGGACCACTATAGAACGCCTTACTCAATCAAACAAGCGCCTCTATCGCCCAGACAAAATTGTGAACTCCAATAGACCATAGCGCTCATCAGGAGGCATTCTACAAATATAAAGATCGTATCGCATAAATCAAAGAGATGAGGTGTTGCTCATGGATCACCGGTTAGCTACCATTCCTGCCAGAACTCCAGCGCCAATGACACCACCGTCTGAAACTTCGCGTAAGAAGACCGATTTCCCGCTCTTCTGAGGCCCAGTTCTCATGATGAGACGGTCAATGAATTGCTGACACATGGTCTTGAAATTAGGATAGTGCTGGATAATTCCGCCTGTGTAAGCGACGACGAGCTCTTCAGGACCCGATTGCCAATCCGCCGGCGTAGGCGAAGGCGATAAAACCGGGACAATCGGCCTGTTGCCTCTTTGGGCGTTTGTTGGCACTTGTAACGTAGATGGCGATAAGAAGTTTGTTACAGCAGAGACGTCAGCCCCGCCATTATGTTCAGGAGATGCAGCGCCGGAGGGCTGTGGTGAGTTTTCGGTGCTCTCCACTTTCAACTCAATTTCGTTCGCGCAGGCAAGTAACCCCACTACTGCCGCAGCAATCAAACCAGCAGCTCGTTTTTGTACAGTCCGAGCAATCTTCCGAAAGGCACCGGCGCACACAGCATCCCAATGCCACTCACTACTTTCCGGTGGGGGTAGAGAGTGATTCAATCCGTCCGCAAGTTCCTGGTCCGACCGAGCGCGAGCGACGTTATCTGAAATGTATGTAGTAGTTAATGCATACTCTTGAATAAGATTCGCAGGTAGTTCCTTCGAAGATAATCCCTTAACGTTGGTGAGATAGTCAAAAAGGATGAGCCGGATAAGTTCACCGATGTATCGACCACCAGTCAGGTACTCAAATGGCTGGAAACCAGGTCGTGCACATGCCCTGTCTAGTTCAATGTCCCATTTAGTTATGATTTCGAGTTCCTTCAAGGGAGGTGCGCTGCCGGCAAGGGTCCATTCAGTGTTGATGACCGTCTCTACTGCCTCTGAATCTTTCGACTTGACATGATTGGCCTTCGTTTCATGCAAAGAACTTAGTTTCATTGGGATTGTCGCATTACATCCCGTGCCTACAATTATACCCATAGCGACCCGGCTGTTAGGCAACGACTTGACAGCATAAGCCAAAGATGCAAGTGTAGCAACGGCGTCATTCGTGATGGCAGTGATCTTGAGTTTCGGTAGAGCGAAAAGTTTTCGGCGCTTGGAAGAAGGTTCATCTTCATCATCCGGACGTCTTGTGTGTCTTTCATAGCCACTAAGAAGAATCTTGCGAAGGTTGAGATCCGATGTAATGGCGAAACCTTTACCCATCGGCATCAACGTAGCCTCCGACAACGATTCTTGCCTAATAGTTGTTAGCTGTATATAGCTCGACATTCGGTACCACATTGGCAGACACCACCTGTGGCACCAGTAATCAGTGTGACCAATATCACACACGAACTTACATTATCGGGAAACTGAAGGTGATTCCCATCTCTAATTCTTCGGGGACCTTGCCTTTGGTAGCATCCGAAGTCAAACTTTCGGCTACCACTTCCGCAATACGATCACCAATCCAAGAAAACAGGTCCTCCGCGTTGTCCATTTTTAAATGTTCCTGGATAGGCCACGCTCTCTCTAGTGTTCGTCTCACGCGCTGTCTTTGTGCTCTGCGAATGGTGGTCGATTGCTCTAAGGCGTCCGTGGGCCCGATATCAGAATTAGCAGCATCCCCCAACAGCTCAATGAACGCGACTCGTAAGTTACTTCCCCCAACATCGATGGCCAAATAACGTCCTGTCTCCAAGCCTGTGGGCAGATGCGTCACTGGTGTCGGTAGAAACTGTTCTTCGGAGTGTAGGGCCAGATCACGATACACACCGGAGAAGCGACGCGCAAGCTTGTATAGAACTGCTTCATCGAGAGACAACGGTGATAGGAATTGATCAAGTCTGCGATGATGCTCCAGGTACTCCATCTGAGAAGGGTCTAGGTAGGAACCCTCATCCTCCTCATCCTCGATAGGGTCCTCGTGTATATCATCATATTCTTCTTGCTTCCTCATTTCCGCAGCCACCGTAGTGATCGGAGCCATTGCAAGACGAAACTTCGAAGGAAGAATCAGGGGAAATTCTACGGAGAGCGGAAGCGTCGAATGATTGCGCACCGGAGGAAGTCGACTTGTGCGACTTGTGGGCAGACAAGTCGTCCGGTCAAGTCGCTGTAGGGGACGGGGTTTGGGCTTTTGTGTTTATTTGCTCTTGTATCGCGGAATGTTTATGAGTGGGAAAGATCTAAGGGACCGGAATGAAGACTGAGGTTTGAGCGATAAGGTGCATGCCTCGAAAGAATCCGGGGGAGTTATGGAGTAACCTTATTTGAGATTCCACTTGCGATCAGGAGTGAATACGGAGTGCAGTCAAGCGTGTGGGGCACTTTCACAATCGTACGCTATGGACTGGAATATGAGAAACAAACGTCAGTCTTGGTATCGCAGTAAATCAGAAAAGAGAAAATGTAGACATCCAATGCTGTCAACTGTGATGACGCGTATCTGTAGTGGAATGATGGAGAGCAAAATCCTGCGGGGGGAACAACAAAAAGCAACAATCTCGACGATCATAATGCAGGGAGCTTCAACGCACGCACCAAGTAAGAAAACCTTATCAGGGAGGATGACTAGACCCATAAGAAAATAGTAAACTACTTACCTTGCACAAGGTGGTTGCACTCACCCAAGTGAAAGAGTAGCAGACTCTAAGTAGTAGTTGTTGATGTCGCTGAAGGGAGCAGTAGAGAGTGAGTAAAATGTTACAGTAGATGTGGGTACACAGTAGGTATGACGGAGAAGACAGGGAAGGAGTCAATTAAGTACTATATTTAAACTAGCACGATCATGCGAAGTTAAGTCCAAAAGAAAAAGGAACAAACAAGACTAGCCAGTGGATACGGGGAATTCATGGCCAGGTCTCCACACCGGAGACGAGGCCCAGAAAATGAAATAGGGAGTGAAAGAGAGAGAGAGGAGCGAGCGAAAAATAGTGACACGATGGAGACAGGAAAAGGAAAAAAAGACGAGGGCTAGTCAAGTTGATTAATATGATTGATAGTAAGATAGAAGAGCCACTGCCGTTGGACGGAGCGAATGCGACCATCTCCCAAACGATGTGACGCTGGAGGTCAGTCGTATCATTGGTACAATTGGTACAGTACCACCGGATGATGCTTTTTACTCCTTCTATCCACCTCCCCCGGCGGAGCGTCTCGGAGGAGCTTCTTCTCTCGGGTCATGTTGTTTTGGATTTTATTCGTTTATCGAGTTCTTTGGTCAATCCCCCTCCTCCCCTCCCGCTTGTTATTTTCAGTCGACTACTATCACGGTTACCATTTCGGATTAATTGTATGTATGCCTGCTGATGTCATTTTTAGATGCTACCTAAACAATCATCACCCTTCCCTCTTTTCCTCAATGCAAAGAAAAAGAAACCAAAAAAACGGCGATCTAACAATAATAATTAACAAAGTTTGAGCAAGACAATGCATATTGCAATGTAACTAAATTCTCTGTAATCAATCTTCATTAATTGGAACTACAAAAGTGACTCACTAAAGAAACTATATTGAGTGCAACCAATGAAATCAACTACGTTTTTGATGTTCAGACCGGAAATCAAGCCCTACTCCGAGCAGTTAAAAAAAGCAAAACATAAAATAAAAAGAAAATGCACCAAACGTCTGGATAATTAAACAGACCGACCATGTGGAAGACAGTGGGGCAGGGCAACCTCTACCGACCTCCGGTATTAAAACGCACTGACTTTTAACGTCAAGTTAGATGCCGCGCGTTTTAGACCCTTTCATCTTGTCAAAGATCCCTAATTTGTTGAATCTCGCATGGATCAACCGGCGCCATGACCTTCCCGGTGACATGGCACGAAGGTTTCTCATGTACGGACACGCCGTGCCAAACAAAGCCCAGGCGGAAAAGCGATCACCCTATCCTCGTTGAGACTTGCCCGCCTTGTTGGGCGTTTACTCGAGCCGAGAACCTGCAGAAGGCTGTGGACACGAGAGGAACTTTTGTGTCGCCATAAAACCATCGTTAGTATCGCCAAATTGGTGCTCGCCATCGTATCATGTGGGTCATGGAGAGATCTCCAGAAAAAGGTTGTGTGGTCAAGTCCCGAATATGTTTCGGCTGAATCAGGAACCCTCAGGGCCACTGCCAGCCTTCTAGGAAGCGCATTTGTCCCAAATAAGGTGGACTGAAAGTCTGTCTGTTGGATGGAGTTATACATAGACTTAGCCTACCTCCGAAATCGGAGAGCTTTAGGTCAACGCTGGTGAGAGGGCGGCACCCTCTAACATTGCGTAGATCCTAGGGTCTCGGTATACAGCCGGTGATCGAATGCGTCTAGCAGGGCGCTAGCTCACCGAACGTCACTCGTCACCCCCTCCTGGAGATGTGGACGACTCGGGCAAGTTTCTCCAGTCTGCCTCCTGGTTTATTGAAAATGATGTTATTGCCAGGTAGCATGCAGTAGCGTGTCGCAGGCGACACCTAGTCTTCGGACTGCGAATATCCCCACGCAATCACTGTCTAGCATGCAACAATGATGATGTTGGTTCGGAAGAACTCGCGATGACAGCTGATTGACTTCGCCCCGGTTTCCAGAGATGACCGATATTGATAATCGGCGTGTCAACATCCAATCAACTACTAAATGATTCTGTAGATTGTGCTCACTTCTGCATTTCATATTAGCTCTACATACTCGGTATATCCCTTTTCACAAAAGAAATCGGGATTCATTTGAGTTGAAGTAAAGGCATACGCCAAATATCTGGAGGAAGGCCGGTGTTGAGTATTAACAGATATACTGGTCTTGTAGTAGGTGATTAGCGAGTTATGAATCGTGTCCTGCCACTGGACTCCTAAACTAGTTTTGATTGCTTCTCCTTGACTGACTGTTTGTCTAAGGAGTTTCTGACTTGGCATGGTTCATTTGGTAAAAAGTCACAAGACTGCCAGGAACAGCCACCACGCCATGATATTGTACCGCGGACTTTGAAATATACCTCAAATCCCACTTTATCTCCTATGATTGGACTGCGATATAATGCTAAGTCCTTCGGCATTAATCATCATCCTCGGACAAAATAATCAGGAGTACCACCTGGGAACAGGACCCCTCTTGACGCTCGTGAGAGCCAGCGTCAAACCCTAAATACTACTAGCTAATGCTGTAATTAACAACTATCAATATTTTACTTGAGTGTTACGTATACTAGCACAACAAGATAATGATCAGCTCTCTAGTAGTTTCGATGTCGCATGAATGTATGTATCCGGTTGAGTTCATGCTCTTGCACCTTATGCATATATCGATCCATCGTGTGTTTCATCCTAGCATCATTTTCACCACTCGCACAAATCAGCTTTAAACCGTTCTGCAAAATGGTAACAAAAGTTCTTTACTTACCAGTACTTTGGGTCAAGCCATATGCAAACCATCCATGTCACGCTAGACTACTTCGGGAACCCCTCCACTTTATCAGCCCAGCTGGGCACTAGCACACTGAGCACTGCCTGCACCCCGACCGTTTAACATCGTTCACCAATTATAATGCACCGCCATCATGCCGAGAAAAAGGCAGCGCTCAGATGAAGATGAAGAGTCTCAAGCCCCGAGTAGGAAAGGCCTACGCTTAACAAGGAGTCGAGTGTGTAAGTCGAGAGATCTATCGGCCGACAGCGGGTGCTAACGACCCAATACTATAGGCATGCAATGCAAGAAGCAAAAGACGAAATGTGAAACAAAGCCAGGTGAAACATCATGTAATAGATGCATTCGCTATGAATTAGAGTGTATTTCACATGACATATCTCAACAATTCCTACAGGAGGACTCGGCGTGAGTAAGATCAAATTTACCTTATCAATCTTATCTCTAACACACTGCAGCTGGAAAACACAAACGACGGCAGATATTGCACTTCTACGGGCTGCTGTGAATCATCTCTTACAGCAAACCAAGCAACCGGAGCTATGGACATTCTCCAATAGTCAAGTAGTCGGCTCACCACGTCCTCGCATGGATTCCCAGAATGTAAGCCAGACCTCCATGGCTGCAATGGACATGTCAAGAGAAAACTCCCCTCAGTTGCAAGAAGAAAATTCATCTGGTCTCGTTACAGTGCCTATGCGCAATCTATACGAGCTTACTAGGCTGAAGAACCTGCGTGTTAATGCAGGATGGAAGCCGAAGTCCTCATTGATTCATGATGACTTCATCTCTCAAGGGATGGTCACACTTGCAGAGGCCGAATACCTCTTTGATCGTTTCATGCGTATCAACAATAGATTATTGTGGGATGGTATACTGCCGTACCATCGCACGCTAGATTCTGTTCGACGTGCCTCAACACTGTTGGCAGCTGTTGTTCTCACCATTGGTGCCTTACATACTCCTGGGAAAACCGAGTCATTCCACCAGAGCTATGACGTGTTTGTCTCGCTTGTCTGCAGCTCGTCGCTGTCTCGTAATCATAGCGTCGATGATGTTCGGGCGCTTTGTATTGGCGCATTTTATCTCGCGAATCTCAGCTGGAAGCTGTCAGGACAGGCCACGCGGATTGCCGCCGAGATTGGGTTACACCAATCGTATCAAAAGTTAATACAGGGAGATGGCACGCAGCGTGATCGTGTCTGTCTTTGGTACGCAACGTATGTCTGTGATCATCAGTTCAGTATCGCCCATGGTCGTCCACCGGCGGCGGTTGATGATGAATCAATCCGAAATATTGAGCGGTTCATGCATACGGCAGAGGTAAACCCTGGCGATGCGAGATTGGCCGCACAGGTAGCACTATTCGCTATTTTAACAGAGGCCTACGTAGCCTTTGGGAATGAACCAGACCGATTGTTAGAAGACAAAGACTTCGATAAGCTATGGGTTTCTAACGTGGCAATTGATCAGTGGAGGCTCCAGTGGCAACCCCGCTCAAAGGACTGTGCTACCTTGGGGTCCTATCCATCAAAAGCCTTGGTACTGTACTATCACTTTGCCCGCTTCCAGTTGAATTCCCTAGCTTTGCGTGGCATTAGTCCTTCTGGCCTGACCTCTAATCCTGAACTTACCTCTAAGAGTCCTTTATCACTGGCGCATCGGGAGGCCGCCAATGCAGCCATTGCGGCGGCTATAAGTACGCTCACCCTGATATTAGAAGATGACGACCTTCGGCGTGCCTTTCCTGGTGTTCCCATATTTACCTATACCATGGTTGCGTTCTGCGCAACGTTTCTTTTGAAAATGGCTGCCACATGGGGGAAGAGCTCGACGCAATTCGGTCTGGCCGTAAATACAAGTCATATTGTCTCTCTTGTTCAGCGCTCTGCAGACATGCTGGCTAATGTTGCTATGAGCCTCAATGAACGACATCTTGCGAAACATATAGCGACAGGAATGCTTGAGATGCTGCAGCAATTCCGTGCTCTAGATGAGAGTGACGTAACCGAACTTAGTAATCGGATAGAAGGAGACGATATAGACAATTTCCCTGCTCTACCTTCTGAATCTAACGACGGCAATGCTTTCTGGGCAGGGGATTATAATTTTTACGATCTTGGAGGGACTTTTGGTTTCGGACTCGATGAGACACTTCTCGGTCAGATGGCAGCAGATAACTTTGAACTGGGTATATAGTCCCTCAGTCGGACCAGGATTTCTATTCTATGCACTTCAACTTTTTCATTAAATATGTACTGGTATAGATGCTTGCTTATGTTCCCCTAATGAGCTGTATGACCATCACAATCTCGCCTTGACTACCGGCCCGCTGTACGATTCCCCAAGTCTCTTTGGAATCAAATGATCTACATCCAGAGTGTTAAGGAGCCCAGGATGTGTCTGCGAGAGGTCTGTAATGCCCAACAGCTTCATTGTGGTCTCCAGTTCGTCTTTCATGACTGCGTTCGTTAGCAGCAATACTCGGGTGGGAAAGTGCCAGGACATACTCTCAATTAAACGCTCCACACCTTCTTGTCCATATGTGAGGCTGTACAAGAACTGCCTTCCCATTCCTACGGCTTTAGCTCCCAAGCAGATAGCTTTAAAAATATCAGTCCCGCGACGGATCCCACCATCGACGAAGACTTCGAGATGCTCAAATACTTGGGGACAGCATTGACGGATTTCCATCAATACCGCTATCGATGATGTCGACCTGTTCACTCGAGTTAGCTGTAGTCCACCGGTACATATGGTATAAACATACGTGTCTACACTTCTCCCACCGTGGTTGCTCACAACAATCCCGTCGACCCCGTGTTCCATTGCCATCAAGGCATCCTCGGCCGTCTGAATACCCTTCAACACGATAGGCAGGGATGTTGACCGTCGAAGCCACTTCAGGTCCTCCCACGTGAAACTAGCATCAATATATCTTCCCATTGTCCTTCCTAGCGCACTGCCTTTTGCATCACCAACACCTTGTGCCCCGGTCATGGGTGCTGTATATATTATTTCCGAGGAATCAGCCCCGACACGCTCATCCGCTTCCCGTTTCCCTGCAACCGGCGCATCAACTGTGAGAAAAACAGCTTTAATCCCACTTTTCTCAACCTGTCGAAGAAGCTGCTCCGATGCAGCACGGTCCCGATTGATATATAGCTGGAAAAAGAAAGGGTGACCAGGCGCACAGGCTGTGATATCAGACACTGTGTATGATGCATTCGTCGATATCTATATATATCATCAGACGGTATAAACGGATCTGCAATGTAAGCATAACTCACACATTGGCCAACACTGTATTTCGCACAACCCCTTGCGATCGCTAGTTCGCCGTCCGGATGCACCATCTTCGCCATGGCTGCGGGACTGACAAACAAAGGTAGGCCGGTCTCACATCCGAGAATGGTAGTCTGGGTGTTGACTTTATTGACATTTCGGAGGACCCTAGGCCGGAGTAGGATACGATCATACATGGCTTTATTGGCATCACGTGTGATCATGTCCGTAGCTGCGGATGAATAAAATGCCCACGTCTTACGGCTTAGTTCTTGGGAGGCGACCTTTTCCAAGTCGTAGGTGCTGAGAATTGATTCAAGTGGGGGTTTTGAAGAGAGTGCCTCTAATCTTGTTTCTTTTGAGTTGAATGGGCAGCCATTTGAGGGGAAGGACCCATTGTTAATTGAGCTTAGATCTGGTCATGTCAGTGGTGGGATCTATTCATATCGGTTGGGACGTACTTGTTGTAGAATGAATATTAGCCATTGTTATTAGGTTGTATCTTGAAAGGCTTCGAATCTGTCTGAATATATATATTAATTTGTCATCTTCATTGATGGGATAGTTACAGGGCTTTATATAGTTCTGGATATCGATAGCTACAGTCCGGAGTTTTACCGCAGCATCGGACTTTTGCCGGACCTGAAGATGACAGCATATTCAACGAGTATCCACTCCATTTACGAGCTTCTAGAATTTCACTCGAATCCATATTCCATTTTTTCCACAAGAGATTGGCCTCATTGTGGATTACCCGGAAATTTATATCGTATTGCAAAAGTCTCAATCTGGTCTTATGAAGAGATGAGCTGAATATAGCTTACTGTTAAGTACTACCATGTACGGCTAACACTGTTCAAGGCCCATTAACCTTACCATCAAATTTGTTACTTTCTGTATATTTTCCAACCAGCTTATTTCCCACATTGGCCATCTTATTCCTCCGAATCTTCCCACTATCAGTAATCGGAAAGACAACGGGCACATCGTCATCCCCCAACCAAAAGATCCACGTGGGTACTTTCTGGGCCCCCAAGCTTTTTTGCAACCACTCAATGATCTCAGAACCAGAAGGACGAGGCTGGCCAGGAGTGCTTTGAATAAAAGCTGCTACTTCCTCGCCCAAAGTTTCGTGTTTGACCCCGACGACACAGGACTGAGAAATGGCATGGTGTTTGTTCAAGTGTTCTTCAATCTCTGCCGGATAGATATTCTCCGCTCCTGGAAGATATTAGTTACCAGATCAATATGTGAGGCGCTATAGGTGTACTAACCTCGGATGATAATATCCTTAATCCGACCAGTGATGACACAATGTCCTTGTGCATCCAGAACCGCTTCGTCACCCGTATGCATCCATACAACCCCAGAGGGATCTGTTTTAAGCGCCTCAAGAGTCTTCTCAGGATTTCGATAGTATCCCTTCTGCACTCCGGACCCTGCGATACAGAGTTCACCGCGTGTTCCTCGTGATACAACATTCCCCGCTGAGTCGATTATCTTGGCAAACGTGTGAGGAAGTATATCTCTATGCACTACCGCATCACTTGGCTGATCTGCTGATCGAGACATGAAGCTGATCGGGGACGTTTCAGTCATTCCTAATTCATGTATTAGAAAAGTAAAGTACTAAACGGACAGGGAACTCTCCCCTTACCGTAAGCCACCGCCAGATCTTCGAACCCGAATTGCTTATGCATCTCCTTAAGTAAAGCTGCGGGAATTGGTGCACCACCTATAAGACCTGTTCTGAGGTGGATTGGGCCAGCCTTGAGCTGCCGATACCGCTCCAGAAGAGCAATGAAGATGGTCGGCACACCGTGAAGTCCTGTGCACTTTTCTCGCACGACTTCGTTGAGTACGGCCGAGGGGTCGAATGTGGGTGACGGGTATACAATAGCGGCTCCGTATGCCAGACAGGAAAGAAGGCCTATTACTAGTCCGGAAATGTGAAATAGAGGGTAGGGACAGCAGACTATATCTTTTTCTGATAGTAGTAGACGGTGGCCGATGGAATAAGCATTGCTGATGACGTTCCTACTCACATGTCAGTATCATAGGGACGAAGTCTTCAAGTCCTGGAGTAATACTTATGTGTCAGCATGGCGATTTTCGGGGCCCCAGTTGTGCCACTTGTGAATTGGAAAGTGCAGGTCTGGTCGGCTTGGACCTTTTGCTCTATCTCACAGAGTGTTGAGTCTGGTATTGTGCTCGACTCGCCGAGGAAGTTATCAAAAGACTGGAACTGCTCTAGGATGTTGCCAAACGTCTTTAGCAGAACAATTTGCTTCAAATCAGGGAGTTCGTCCCCATCTAACGAAGTTTTAAGAACCCTCAGACAAGAGGCCAAGTCACGCTGTCCGATATGTGTTGCAGTGAACAGCAACGAGCAGCCTATGTAACTATATAAGATGGTCTTTCCCGGGTGAAAAAAGGACAATGAATCATTTACCGGTAGTTCTGAGTACATTGAAGCATTCTGTAGTTGAGTATGCATTATTGAGCAATACTGTAATCGCCCCGATTCTAGTTGCTGCCAGGAAAACCTCTACATATCCCACGCAGTTGCCGCAGAAGACGCCGATGCGGTCACCGGCTTTGATTCCATGCGTTATGAGTGCGCGGGAAACAGTTCGTACCCTTGAATCCAACTCTTGATAGGTATATCTAACACTCTCGGCTGGAAAGATGACTGCCTCCTTGGTTGGGAAGTAGGCTGCCTGCTGGTTGAGGAGTTGACCAATAGAGTATGATTTTAGGGCTGGCTCGGAGGGGCCATGAAGAAGGGATAAAGAAGAGATATTGTTGGACATGATGCGCTGTTCTCCCGACTAGGTGTACAGGAAATGGATATTCTTGCAGAATGTTCTGGCATGACAGAGATGGAATTACATCCAAACACACAAGAAAATGTAAGAAAACAAGAGGAAAGACACATGAAAAGTGGGCCTATATGTGGATATCATTCAGATCTGGTGCTACTAGTATACGAGAACCTATCGCAGAAAATTTCCTTAACTATTTTCTCAGTGTGGATGGACGTAAGCTGTACAGCAAAATTCAAGGAATATACATAGCTTTAAACCAATCAACGCATTGGCAGGAACTTGAGACTCCACATAACTGATCCAAGTCATCCTGCATATCTCCTAGACATGCTAGGGGTAACTTGGCATTTAGACACAGCCGGGATATACATTCATTTCACTATAAAATCGTAGCTGAAACCAAAAGCGTGCGTTCCACTTGACAGCTTTTCAAAAGAAAAAAAAAAAAAAACCATATTTTTAGTCAACTGAGGAGCACGCTTTTGTTACGACAATTCGGTCTTCGCTGGTGTTATTGAATTCAAGACGAATAATTAGGCGTACTTCTGTAGTCTACTATCTGGTGACCATTACGAGGCCGCAGTAGCTATGTGATCGGATTTGAATGGTTATAATGCCTAATATGGTCGGGTTGTTTTGGGCTTCAATCCCACCAATGGAGGGTAATCTAGCTCTATACAGTAATTCCGACATTCCGATATTCGATTGAGGGAGCTACATATATGGCAACGAAGAAGAATGTTCGAGATTCTGAATTATAGAGCGAAATGCCCGAGAATCATGGTATTTTGATGCAGAATATAGTTATCTAGAATGCTGGAGAAGACGGACAAGGCAAAGTTACCTGGAGCCCGTCTAACGAGAGCTGCTAAAGTACTCCGTAGATAACCTTTTTATGTCCCCAGGCTAGTAAACCAGAGTTCAGCATTTGCTGGCAGAGCTCTTTGGACTCTCCGTCTGATATTATCTTTGCTGGGGCTGGGAGCTCAGGCTCACCATACTGTCCAAAAATTTTTTTTTCGATCAATAATAAATTGAGTAGAGACCCTCTACTCCGGAGTAGATTGTTTTCGGATCTTCAGAAAGCTATTTTGGTAGAGATAGTATTGTGGACCGTGGTAGTATACGAGTGGAGAGGCGGTCAGTCATGAGGAAAATACTGGCCTCCAGAACCGCCTTACTAAATTTTAGCATCCGACTTTGGTAGGCGGTATGAAGGCTACCCATATAAATTAGGTAAGGCGGTCCTTCTAAAGGACGAGAGGACAGACGAATTGCGTAATGATTGGCCATTTAGTGTCTTATGATTAAATCTTACATGTAACAAGACTCCATCGATTCTCTCCACTTCCTTTAACTCTTACGCGACATAGCTATCCGTCACATCTCACATTGAAGGCTCACCAGTAAATGGTAATCATGGAGAAGTCAGAAAATCGGCCTTATGATCAATACCACTATGCTGAGATCCCAACATCTCCCGATGCGATCCCGATACGTGCCCGACGCGGTCGCATTTCTCGACTCGCAGTTGCCCTGAGCTTCATATCGTTGCTCACGCTAAGCACAATGTTCTTCGCTATCCCAGGAATCAATTTTTCTGTTTGTCACAAGATGAGGGGAAAACTTGGTGCAATTTTATCTTTCCCGAAGGGTGGTGAGACACCTGTGCCAGCATCAAGTAACAAGGTCCCGCTTGAGGCTCATATCATGAGCAAGTGTCCAGACGCCCAGGACTGTCTTCAGAAACTGGTCGTTCCTGCTATGGAGCAGATAAGTGAGAAAGTCGATTTTGAGTTGTCCTTCATTGCAAGGTCTGTGGGCACAACGATCCCGAAACAATATTGTAGCTTACGGAACTAACCGGCATTTAGCGTCACTAATCAATCATCTGATATACATTGCAAACATGGACCTGGCGAATGCATTGGCGACATGCTTATGCTTTGCGCTCAGGATCTCCCTTTCTCACCTGAGGGTACCGAGAAAACTACTCGCATGCCCACCATCCGTTCCCTTGGATTTGCCAATTGTCTTATCGGCCAGTACGAGGATATTCCAGACCGTCCACTGGTTCAAAATTGCGCCTTACAACATGGTATCGATTTTGAATCTCTGAACAGATGCGTCAGCAGGCAGGAGGATGATCCTAGCAATGGTGACTTAAGTGGTCTCGCATTGTTACGTCAAAGTGCCGTCCACAGTGCAGACCTTGACGTTCATACGAGTTGTACTGTTCGACTGGATGACTCTGTTTGGTGTGTCCGCGATGACGGAGAATGGAAGAACTGCGCTAAGGAGGGGAAAGGCAGCCAAGTATCTACACTCGTGGAGGAAATTGAAAGACTCTGGGAGGCGAAAAACTAAATGAAAGAGCTATGATGGCAGTATGGTTGTTATGACTTACGAAAAAGTCTCCAAGGAGTGCTGGTTACTGCTTTAGCTCGCATCCCTGCAGGTGACTGTACTAAGATGATATCCGCTTTATATATAAGCATTATTTATCGCAGATATTGATGATCGCTAATTCATAATGTCTAAAAAAATCTGTTTCTGTTTCTGTTTCTCTTTTGTTTAGCCAAGAGAGTTTTGCATTACACTTTTCTGCATAGCAGAATACCGTGCAAACCACAGAGGACTAAGCTACAGTGTCTTTCACAAATGCATGCCGTATACTCACATTTCCCCTCCACATCGCATCATTTACAGAGATGTAATCGTGCACATTTGTCACGGCAACCATTCACCCTTACTAGGGCTGAAATTACCCTGTTGCTGGGACCTTGTATAGCAACAGGATCTTTTGTTGTGTTTCTAGTATGCTTCATGGAAGCCACCTGTGTTTACTTGCTCTGCTTTCACCCATGCTCAATGCATACTGATTTATTAATTCTAAATACACACCAATATTTTTCCTTGGCAACTGCATCCTTTTCAGTTTCTCTATCCTTAACGCTCCTTGTCAATCAACAGCCATGGCATCCTCTTGGCTTCCATCTCCTTGGAAAAGTCGACGAGAAAGAAGAGCCGACCCTGAAAGGACAGTCGACGAACTGGTGCAAAAATACTACAGGACTAATCAACCAAGCACCAATGATATTCTCCGTGAAATTCTCGGGAGCCCGGAACAGGCATCGCTTCTCTTCAGCGCGCTTCGACGCCAGGTCTCTCTGATTAAATGCCGCTCACAGTCTTTCGAGGACGGCCAGATAACCACCTACGACCGGGCCCTACTGGAGCTCAGCAGAAATGGGGAGAATTTGACTGAAACCGGTGCACTTGAGCTTTATCTAACTGAATTTATCGGGATTGTCCCTATCTCGCCCACCTCTCAGAGTAGAGCTATTCTAGCTAAACAGCTCGAGCTGGAAAGCGTACTAAACAGAGGTTCGTACTCTCGTATTCTTCAATTTATCGAGCTTCTTTAACTGTGATGCCTTAGCTTCCGCCCTTGGTACCACGCCGGAGACAGTTATCGATCGTAAGGAGCAGCCTGAGACGTTGTTTGTTGACCAGGCGCCTGTCAAACCTGAATATGAATACGGAGATCAAGACGATCATTATTGCGTGGAACAGACCGGTTTGAAGATCAGTTCAACTGGACACGCACAGCAAGTTTTCGACCGCATGGATAGGCTTTTGGAAGTTTACCACCGCGCCAAGGATGAGTACTACAACGCTTTGCAAACAGAGGGGTTTGTTAGCCTCGACACAGTTCGTTTTCTTCGAGACACGGCAGAAAATGTTCTTCGTTATCTTCACGCAAACGGACTGTCAGACCATACTTCTGTACCGGATGTGGAGCAGGTCTTCCTGATTGCCAGGGATAAGGCGACACAGCTTACGGGTGGTCGAAAGAGGCATTTCGATGAAGGTATCGAGAGATATAGTCGTAGGAGGAAGCGGCGGGCCCTCGACTCATACCGCCCTAGGAAATGACCCTCAGGCCGTGTGTGTTTTCTATTCTCTTGGGGGTGGATACATTTGCACACTATCTTAACATGGGCTGGTTTGATTGCTGGGAGTTTAGGTGCGCTCTGATCTGTTTGTCACTCAGTCATTTTCATCTAGTAATGTGTTTGTACATTAGTATGAAGCGGAGGACTGGATGAAGCATGTACTCCGTAATATACCATAGGTAGGAGAAATACAGTGCATGCTCTTTCAATATAATTCCTTCTCCCATGTCTTGGCGCAAATCACAACGCTAGCGTGCACCACGTGCGCTCTCCTGATCGGAAATTCCATACATACGCAATACTGTATCCCCTCTGTCCTCCAACACGACACAACCTCGTTGTGCGCCAAATGCAGGCTAGGGGCTGTAAAGCTGGAGTTACAATTGTGGCTTATTCTGTCTGAAGAGAGATGCTGTCGTGAGCTGCCAACAGCGAACTTTCCGTGCTTTCTGAAATGGCCTCCTTGTTCCCTCAGCCGACCGAGGCCGCGTATTCCACGTCCAGTAACACATCGCCCTCACCCGTCCAGTATACGCCTGTATCCGACAGGTCTGAGGATGAATCTGGACCCCTAAGCCGCCCTCCTCCGGGCTCATTGAAAGTGCAAACGCAATTTGGTGCCAACAGAGACGATCGTGACGATGGGTACGATTCTTACGACGATCCCGAGGAGAAGCCCGATACGGGCTTCCCGAAGTATACGGCAATAGAAGAGAAGCAGATCGTGAAGAAATTCGATCGCCGGCTAGTTCCTTTCTTAGCGTTACTCTATCTACTCTCTTTTCTGGATCGATCCAGTAAGTGATGACATACGTTGTCAAAGTAGCGAAATCACTACACCCCAATCACAGGTGATGTGTATACAGGAAGCTAACAGCGACTCAGATATTGGAAATGCCAAAATTGCTGGCATGACAGATGATCTTAGGCTTTCATCTTCGCAATATGAATGGCTTCTTACAGCATTTTACATTACCTATATCCTCTTCGAATGGATGACTCTGATGTATCGTCTTGTCCCGCCGCATATCTACATTTCACTATGCGTATGCGGATGGGGCCTTGTGGCATGTTTCCAATCTCTAGCTACTTCATTTGGGGGTCTTGTTCTCCTGCGTGCCCTTCTTGGAGTTACAGAAGCGGCATTTGGCCCGGGCGTCCCATTCTACCTATCACTCTTCTACAAACGTGAAGAACTCGCATTTCGAAACGGACTGTTCATTTCTGCAGCACCCCTGGCTTCGTCGTTTGCAAGTAGCCTTGCTTGGGTGATTGTCAAAATGAGCAGCAACGGCCCAATCGCTCCCTGGCGCACTCTGTTCCTAGTAGAAGGATTTCCAAGCGTGATCGTGGCAGTCTTTGCCTGGATCCTGATCCCAGACTCACCTGGCAGCGCCTGGTTTCTCGGACCTAGACAGAGAATGGTAGCCGAGCAGCGAATGGAAGAGAACAAGCCAAATCACCACGAGCCACGTCGAGGGAAATTCAACTGGAAGGAAGTCAGAGCCACGCTAGCCGATCCCAAGTCCTACATTACAGCCGTATGCCCCCATAAAAATCACATCAACACCCAAAAAGCCCTCCACTAACAAGTGCATATGCATCAGTTCATGTTCTTCAGCTGCAATGTCGCATTCAGCTCCATGCCCGTTTTCCTCCCCACCATCATCAAAGAGTAAGCATACGCGAAAACAAATACCTACTCAACGCCCAAGGCTAACAGGTGAACAGCATGGGCTACTCCTCCGTAACCTCACAAGCCCTCTCCGCCCCACCCTTCCTCTTCGCATTCGTCATAGTCCTCCTAACAGCCTACATCTCCGACCGCAATCGCAAAAGAAGCCCCTACCTCATCATGCACGCCCTCCTCTCCTCAGCATCCTACCTCATTATCGCCCTAACAGGCCACTTCCACGCCCACCTCCCCGCAATAGCACACACCACCATTCGATACCTCTGCGTCTACCCTGCAACAGCGGGCTTCTTCTCCGCCATCACCCTAATCATGACCTGGACTATGGACAACCGCGTCGCGAAAGAAGCTAAAGGCGCGAGCATCGCCATCATGAACGTGATTGGCCAGTGTGGACCGCTCCTCGGGACGAGGTTGTACCCCAGTGTTGATGGCCCATGGTATGTGCGTGGGATGGCGACTTGTTCGTTCTTCATGGTTGTTGTGGCGGTTTTGGCGTTCGTGCTGAGGGTTATGCTGCTGAGGGCGCGTCGCAAGGTCGAGGCAGAGGGAGTTGAGATTGAGATGGATGGTGGGGAGGAGAGTGAGGTGCTTATGGGTGGGAGGAATATTGGACGTCGCGCGGAGGAAAAATTTATGTATATCATCTAAGACAAACAGGTTTACATTGACCATATGGCGACTGGGTATGATTTGATATAAGATGTCACGTTTACATGTTAGGATAATACAAAAGGTTCAATAACAAGACACCCAAGACCCCTACAACGACCCTTAAGATCAATAACTGAAGCAAGAAGACCAATCGGATCACCAATTATGAGCTCATATGTATATCGATGCAAAATACATGCCGCGAAAAAAAAAAAGGTATGTTAGAAGAACCCAATCAACCGACTATGCAATCAAACCAGCAAGCATAGAATGCGACACAAAACACGCGTGCTCAAGATTCCGACGAGACAAAAAGGCTATACAAGCAATCTGCGCCAAACAAATCCGTGTTTTCCCGTTGAACCCTATTTATACCCTTTTTGCCCAATGTTCACTACAATATGTATATGATAAGATTGTGTTTTTGTGAATGTACCAATATACAATTGGAATTTACCACGCGGTGTGGCCACCATCAATGAGCATCGTGCTCCCCGTCATGAAGCTGCTAGCATCACTGAGAGCGAAGAGCGCAGCGCCTCTGAATTCCTCAGGGTACGCCAATCGCCCAAGCATGTTCTCTGCCTCCCAGATAGCCCGAGAAGCCGGGTTCTGCTGGAACACCTGCTCGACCATGGGGGTGACGATGTGACCGGGGCACAGGCTGTTCACACGGATACCATGACGGCCCCATTCCATTGCGAGAGAACGGGCCAGCTGAATGACAGCCGCCTTGGAGGAGTTGTAGACAGGGGAGGTCATGCCCTTGTTGGCGATGAGGCCGCTCATGCTAGCGATGAGCAGGATGGAGCCCTTCTGCTGGTAGTTGAACATCTGGCGGGCGGCGGCGGTGGCGGAGTTAAACACTCCGTTGTAGTTAATCTGCATAACTTCGTTCATGGCGGTTTGGGAGTGCTCGAGGGCGCTCTGGAGGTGGTTGATTCCGGCTGCGGCGATCAGACCGTCCAGGCGCTTGTGTTGGCCGGCGATCTCAGCGAACACGTTGTTCACTTCTGCGTCGTCGCGGACATCAATTCGGTAGTACTCCAGGCTGCCGCCGTAGTTGGTTTCTGCGTGCTCTTTCGCGGCCATGAAGTCTGGGTGGGGGTTTTCGAGGCGGTCGAGGCAGTAGACTAGATACCATGGTTGGTTAATATGGAGACCGGGGGAATTTGGTGGACAAGATGGGAAATACCTTTGGCTCCGGCTTCCATTAGGGCTTCGGCCATGGCTAGACCGAGTCCTCTTCCGCCGCCGGTGATGGCGTAGACGCGGTCATTAAGGTCGAATTCCTTAAAACGATGCCCGTTCTTGATTGACTCCTTTGGAGGCATCCGTGTTTGGATGTGATGCGCTCCATGGGTAGTAGTGGTTGTGGAATATGAGAGTCGTGTGAGTGGGCGGAGTGTTGTCCTTGGTTGCCATGAACGGCTTGCTTGGAACAGCGTCTGGGGTAGTGTAGAGCGCATGGCTACGGAGGTGATAAATTGAGAGACACTAAAAATTAAACAGAGATACCAATGATGAACCGAGACAGAAATAGCACAGCAGAAATAAATGCTACCACAGATTAAAGGAAAATCTCAATCGCTTGGTATCCATACTATCTACGGAGGAGGGCCTGGAGTTTATAGTCCCAGAGGGAGCAAACCGCGTGGGGAGTAAGACATAACAACCGAAAGCGAACATCGTAGGTACTGCGCAAGAAAATACGAATCAAGGCCAGCAGAAAAAATCAAGACGACCGCGTGATACCTTGATGGGTCCGCCATTGGATTCTAGATTGCTTTCACGATGACTTCAGGGTGAACCAGATCCAATTCAATGCTTGGGAGGATCCATGGTACATGGTCTAGTCCATGCACAGGATTACAGTGGTAGAACCTTGCCACAGGGATGAGGGGGGTGAACCGGCATGGAGCGGCATTGGACACATAATCCCCAAGTGCAATTGTGGGTGCGGTTGTGTCTGAGAAAGTATCGTGAGCTTTTGTTCGGACGATGGTTCATGGCCGAGAACGGTAAGACAGATTGGTCAGTTGATCGAGGGATGACGATCACTAGGTTTGTGGAATGGCCCACTCAGCGCGGGATTCCCGAGTATGGGGAGACCGAGAATTGGCAGATGCTGGATCAGATTTCGGTATCAACGTGTCCGCGCAATACTGGGAGTTCATAGCGGTCAATGACATTGCAAGAAAAAAGGGGGCAACAAGGAAGATAAAAATAACTGAAAAAAGGAGGCAAACTGTGATGTCAATTGTATGTAGTTGAATCGATATAATCAATTCCGAGAGAATCATGCTTCAATTGAGAATTTTTTTTTTTTTGGCTTGGGTTGTATTGCGATGAGCTCACGATGGGTGTCTTTCCCAGCCAGTACCGGGGAAGTGACGGTTACCCCGGCTTTCCCTTCTTTTGCGGAAGGCAATCCTCCAATAGCAGCCTCGGCATCGCAAGTGGTGGTGTAATCCGCCCTCACAGTGAGTTACGGACCCAAGTGCCTTCCCGCAGCAAGATAACCCTGATTAGGGTATCCATTGCTTCTTTCATGGTTCTAGACAGTCAGTATCGGACGATCCTTGCAGTATCAGTCCCAGTCTTTGGGTCATTCATCCGTCCAGAGTTTTTCTTGCCCATGTTGTTTCTTCCCCACACTTTGCATGTTTATAGCAACATTGCTCCACAAGACCATATCAAAAGTTCCAAACGTCGGTGGCCTGGAAACCAACTCCCGGTTGATTTGGTAACCCATACCTTCTTGGTATTATTTTCTTTTTTCTTTTTTCCTTTTTTGCCCCCTTCTCCCAATAATATTCTAGTAACACTCCCTTTTGCTAGGTCACTAAGGATCGGCGACAGTACTTTTGCTGCTTAGTGCATGAAGCTTCCAAAAATTGATAATCCGAGACAACCATGCCTGAGTTGATAGCATAGGTACGTAGACAATCTTTTAGTTCGGAGCATTCCATCCACAGGAACCCAAGATTCTTCGAGTAACCTGCCTCTTAGGCCAGATCCACCCTCCTGGCCGGGGCAAGATCCCCCTTACACCAATTTAGGGGTCTCATCGGCAAGCCGCTCATGGTCAAGCGGGGCACAGGGGCCAAGCATAAAAATTCATATACAAAGAAAGGGTAGATCATCCCCTAGTCGGTCGGAGAATAAGGATCAAATTAAAATAGACTGGCTGTTGAGATCCCGATAAATTAAGCTCCCCCTGTGGCTGGAGCTAGGGCCCAATCATCTCGGTTACCTATTTGGGTATTCCGTGAAAGAACCCTGAATCATGTGTGCCTTCAGATTTTTTCGCTAGTGCTCACATAACGCCGTATAATAATCTGTATGTCGGGCGGTATGCATTGAGGAGGTATCCGCAAGAGATTAGGTATTGATCATTGGACAGTGGTCGCTTTTTTGGCCGCCGACACTGCCCCAGGCCGATAGGGTTGCTTGTAATGGGACTATGCGGTAACACTCCTGGTTTCACAATGCTTCTTTCAAAGTCTAGGGGATCTTTCAGTTTGTTTGGCGCCAAAGTGCTGCTTCTTATAGGCTTCTTTGCTGTTCAGACTTTACCCCAGGTGGTTTCAGAGGGGATTGTGTTGTACTTTGTATAATCACACCATTATCCAGCCACATGGACAAGCCTAGTTAGTTTTGATCAGAGAAAGTCAATTGGCTTTGAAAAGGTATAGCAGTAAGACATTTGGTTCTCATTCCCAATTTGAGCCTCAATGGCTTGCAGAGACGGAGAAAGTAAAAATAAATATGAAGCTTCTGATCAGATCCGGCAGGTGTCAAGCCTGCAGGGGCTAACCAAATCCCGTCTAGTCGGAGCCCTTCAATGAAGGTTAAGTTCAACAAACAGAACCTGAGGCAAAGCATAACCACAAGACCTAAAAGGTGTTAACACGGAGAGTCGCGCTCTCACCTCTCTCTCTCTCATTGTCTCTTTCAATGACTATAACTCTCATTAGTAGACGTTCGTTCTCACAGGGAAGTCATGGCCACCTACCATATGCAATGGTATGTGGCAGTCTAGTACGAACAGTGACGCCGATGTTGTCCTAGCCTCCGAGCCCTCTAACTTAATAAAGGTTAGGGACCGCTTAGGCAGTAATTTCCCCGGACCCTTCTCCGTAAGTTAGGAGTCCCTCCCGGGGGACGGTGGAGGGGTTAGGCAGTCATATTGCCCCATGACAATAGTAGATTCCTAATTTTATGCTAAGAATACATTACATGACCATACTCGTAACTCGTTTCTTGGGAATTGGACTTCCTAGTATCCCGCGTTGGCATATCCACCTGATACAAACGCTGCGGGCCCAATGCTTCCATTTGCGTTCCCGAAGTCTAACTTCATTAGCAGTCGGTCCACCCCGGCCGCTTTCCTGGGCACATAGTGACCCATGTTGGCCTCAGTACCCATGGCATTCTGCTGGTACATTGACCAGTTCTCACGTGGGTTTTTCGACATATCAAACATGGTTCGTCCTTCCCCAGACCGGCTATCGTCAATGTCTTTCAACCGTGCTACAAGAATCTTGATTCCCGTCTCAACTTCGCCTCGCGCTGCACTGAGCGCTTGCCATACTTCCTTCTCTTCCCCAGCGTAATCGACCAAGGAGTCAACGACACCTTCGTCTGTCTCCAAGTCCATATTGCGCTGAATGCTTTCGAGACGGACCACAAGCGCGATAAAATGGTCGACACTGGTAAGTAGGAACCGAAGGGCTTTTGTGAATGGTCTTTCGGTCAAAAAGAGTGCCTGAACCATGGTGAAGAGGTATCGACGATGTGCGACCGTCAATGTTTCGGGATCATGCTGTGTCCTTGGTAACTGAGTCGATCGGTCCAAGTCAGCTTCAGACGTTTCCTCAGAGGCCATGCTGTTATAGTTTGGTTTGCTTTTTGACGATGACGAAGTTCCAGGTCGGGAATTCGTGGACGAAGTTGGAGCACCTCCAATCCATTCACGGAAGTGCTGCCAAGAGCCATTGATAACCTCTCCTTGAAAAAAGCTGCCTACTTCTGATAATACAAAGAGGGAGGCACTGCACGTAGCCCAGACAGGTCTCATCTGACGGGTTCGGGTGTTGTCTCTTTGCCTCCCCGCTCTGAGCTTGTTCTGGCCAAACTGGGAGTTGCTCCTGGGTGGGCCCAATGGGGAAGGGTGAATCTTTCGCAGGAATGTGTGTTTCCAAAGGTCCCCCAAGTGTAGTTGCGCTCGTCGAATACCCAGAAGATAGGAGTGAATTTTTGAATATATTAAAACGTCTGAAGCCGAGAGAAATAGATCCAAAGGTGGGTGCACTTGTGCTGAGAGAGCCGTTGGAGATGGGAACAGGAGGTCGTCGAAAGGGATATCTGAGATGTTCGCTACGTAGTCAGGCCCACTCGCTGAAGGCGTCGCCGCGACTGAGTGGCCTTTTCTTTTATCATTCATTGATAGCTGTAGAAGGCTTCTCGCAAGATCAAGCTCATCATCTACAGGATCTTCCTCGTTTTGCAACGCATACAGCTCAGCCAACGCTTGCGACAAAGCATTCGCAACATCGCCCTCTTTGATGGAAAGCCCTTGGAGGCCCTCGGAAATTTTGCCTCTGGAAGCCAAAGTTCCCGGTCGTCGATGTCTTTCAAGTAGACGAGCATCAGCATGTGATACAAGCGCCGACGCAAACTCGCCACGTCTCAGCAACAAGAAATCATGAAGGACAGCCAGTATCTCGAGGATCTTAGGGAGCGGTAGCAGTTTAGAGAGTGTGCTTTGCGATAATGATAGCCGAATGGAATTTATGCTATTGGATAGTTTGGCGGTCGATATGGGTGATGTCAGTGTAGCAAAGTGCTCGATATGTTCCCCGTGTAGAGTGACGGGCGTAGTTAAAAGACCTGTTGGAGGACCTGTTGTAGAGCCACTGCGCTTTGCCCTGATAAGGTTTAATGTTTTCCCAATAAACAGGATAGATAAAGCTGTGTCAGGGGAGACAAATTTTGGTTGCAAGTTTGTTCGTAGAACAAAGTGTGCCACCGCAGGGGCACGATTGCTCTCAGTTATGCTATCCTCTTGAATGAAGAAGTCATCCTTGCCTAGCACAGGAAGGTTCCCATATAGTAGCCACGTCGACAGCTGCCTCATCCAAGCTGTTTCAGCTGCGCTGATTAGGTGTAGCGCCATCTCACCAATGTCAATATATCCGGTTTGCGATTCCGCCCGAAGATAATCGATCAGTGCTGCGCCCGTGCAAATCTGATTGCTGGCTTTCTTGTGATAAGGAAGAATAAATTGGGCAATATCCCAGAGCCATTCAAGCCGTCGGGTCCAGGGAGAGAATTCGCCGACCATCGTTGACAGCGGCACGATTCCGTAACCACCAACATACTCGCTATCTTCCACCAGAATTGATTTTTCTACTTCAAGTACCTTTCGTTGGAAATCCCCAAGATGTTGTGTATTGATTGCAGTTGAAGCAGCTCGGCATATGACAGAATGGTGTGAGGCAGAAATCAGAGCTGTATGAGCTCGCAGTTTAGCATGAAGTCGGCTCAAACGGGCAAGGGAGGCGAGGAGGGCTTTCTCCGGAGGTGACAAGAGAGGAAACGCATCCTCAGAGACCGCATCCTCAGAGACCGCATCTTCTTCGGCATGGGTTTCGAAAAGTGGTGACGGTTGGCCGGAGAGGGAGAGAAGGATTTCGTGGAGCATTCTGTTTGGAGTTCTCTACAAAAACCGTTGAGATATATGCGTGACAAGGGAGCTAGCACTATTGCCAGGCCAGCCTACCTTAAAGCGCTGTCTTTGTCCGCGCTGGACCTTTTACGCTGCCAGGATAAAAGTCCGCGTCCAAGAAGCTCGTACCGACACATGTACAGTGGCCGACAGTCAATAGCTGTCGAGGGTGCTGCCTTCGTTCAGCCCGATATTGCGGCGCGTCGCGTGATGCGGAGTTGCAGAGTATCTCCGTGGGTATGTAGCTAATGGAGGGAGGCAGGGATTGTTCTAGAGGGTGGGACCTATGGTTGCAAATCAGTATTGGCTATTTGAGCTCTAGGTTACCTTCAGATCTTACCCATTGTACCTGTCATTATTATTTCCGTCACCGCCCTCAATCGAGCTCTCATACTAGGTGTATTTCGTAGTTCATTGGCAATCTGGCGGTCATCTTCCGCTCGCGGGGCAATGACCAATCACCGCGTACCAATGCTGAGTCAGCCACCGACAGCTTGTCCCTCTTACGTCGCTGGAGGAGACGTTTCCATCGTAACAACGTTGTCTCTTTTCCCCATCTTTCTCTGTCGTTCTGTCAGTTTGTTTTTCAGTCTCGCATCTCAACATTTTCTTTCATTTCCTCCATCTCTCATAGGAGGCTTCTGTACAATACTTTAGAGTGAGAATAATCACCGCCGCTCTACCCCCGGTACTTTGACCGCTACCCCTCCTAAGCCCGCGCCGGGAGCTGTAGATTCGAGTCAAATCACTGTTGGAAAGTCTTGCTTGAAGGCAAGGCTTTCGGCTCACAGATCGCCACAATTACCTCCGAAATTCCCGTTCGCGACGCTGCGAAGCTGGGAAAGCGAAGAGCGTCTACCGAGAAATCCCCAACTCGGCCGGAGAAGAAGATCATGACGGTATGCCTCATGATCAAGCATCCATTCCTAAAATTTCTTTTCGTCCGTCATCGCTGACAAGATATAGGACGTCGAGATGAAGGTTGATAACCCACAGGAAACTGTGGAGAAGATTAAGCAGGGGGAGATCGATGAGTCTCTCTACAGTCGACAGCTGTGAGTGCCTCCGGTATCCAGCGGCATATTTCGTCTCGCAAGGTCTTATACTGACTAATTTCCTTTTCTACCCATAGGTATGTGCTTGGACATGAGGCTATGAAGCGCATGGGTACTTCGAATGTCCTTGTTGTCGGACTGAAGGGCCTTGGTGTGGAAATCGGTATGTACGACGGTAGCTGTATGCGGTACGATCGACTCTAACAGCTGTATAGCTAAGAACATTGCTCTTGCCGGTGTGAAATCTCTCACTCTATACGATCCCGCGCCCGTTGCCATCTCAGACCTTTCCTCCCAGTTCTTCCTTCAACCTCAAGATGTCGGCAAGCCGCGTGCCGAAGTGACGGCCCCTAAGGTCGCCGAACTCAATTCATACGTTCCCGTCACGGTACACGAAGGCGGTAACCTCGTAGATGACCTGGAGCAACTGAAACGCTATCAGGCAGTGGTCCTTACTCTCACGCCTCTGAAAGATCAACTTGCTATTGCGGACTTCTGCCACAAGAATGGCATCTACCTTACCATTGCCGACAGTTTCGGTCTTTTCGGTTACCTCTTTAACGATTTTGGAAAGAATTTCACCATTGGTGATGCTACTGGTGAAGAGCCTGTGAGCGGCATTGTGGCCGGCATTGATGAGGAGGGTCTAGTGTCTGCTCTTGATGAGAGCCGACACGGTTTGGAAGATGGAGACTATGTGACATTCACCGAGGTGAAGGGCATGGATGGCCTGAATAACTCTGACCCTCGCAAGGTCACTGTTAAGGGCCCTTACACGTTCCATATTGGTGATGTCTCTGGTCTTGGGACGTACCAGTCTGGCGGTATCTTTACACAGGTCAAGATGCCCAAGTTCGTCGACTATCAACCCTTGGAGGAACAGCTCAAAAAGCCTGAGCTTATGATTTCGGACTTTGCCAAGTTTGACCGGCCGCAACAACTACACATCGGTGTCCAGGCGCTTCACAAATTTGCCGAGGGCCATGATGGCCAGCTTCCTCGTCCTCACAATGAGAGTGATGCCCAGGAGGTCCTCAAGATCTCTAACGACCTCTCCTCGAGCCAGGAAGAGAAGGTAGATTTGGATGAGAAGCTCATTAAGGAGCTTAGTTACCAAGCACGCGGTGATCTCAGCCCCTTGGCCGCCTTCTTTGGCGGCGTTGCAGCACAGGAGGTCCTCAAGGCTGTCTCCGGAAAGTTCAGCCCTGTTAAGCAATGGCTCTACCTAGACTCGCTCGAGTCGCTTCCGGCTTCTACTACCCGGTCTGAAGAGAGTTGCAAACCACTTGGAACCCGGTATGATGGTCAGATTGCTGTCTTTGGTAAAGAGTTCCAGGATAAGATCGCCAACACTACCCAGTTCCTTGTTGGTGCAGGTGCAATTGGATGTGAAACCCTCAAGAACTGGGCCATGATGGGTTTGGGAACTGGCCCTAAGGGCAAAATCTATGTTACCGATATGGACCAGATCGAGAAGAGCAACCTCAACCGCCAGTTCCTATTCCGCAGTAAGGATGTTGGCAAGCTCAAGAGTGAGTGTGCCTCGGCTGCTGTTCAGGCCATGAACCCCGAGCTAGAGGGCAAGATTGTCGCATTGCGGGACCGTGTCGGACAAGACACTGAGCACATCTTCAATGAGGAATTCTGGGAAGGATTGGACGGGGTTACCAACGCACTGGACAACGTTGATGCCAGAACTTACGTTGATCGTCGTTGTGTCTTCTTCCGTAAGCCTCTCCTCGAGAGTGGCACTCTTGGCACCAAGGGCAATACCCAAGTTATCCTTCCACATATCACCGAGTCCTACTCCAGCTCCCAGGATCCCCCTGAAAAGTCCTTCCCCATGTGCACTCTGAAGAGTTTCCCCAACCGGATCGAACACACCATTGCCTGGGCCAGGGATCTTTTCCAGACCTACTTTGTTGGCCCCCCTGAGGCTGTCAACATGTATCTGTCACAGCCAAACTACATTGAGCAGACGCTTAAACAGGCTGGCAATGAGAAGCAGACCCTGGAGCAACTGCACGATTTCTTGGTGGCCAATAAGCCATTGACTTTTGACGATTGTATCGCCTGGGCTCGCCATCAGTTTGAAGGTCAGTACAACAATGCAATTCAGCAGTTACTGTACAACTTCCCTCGGGATTCCACGACCTCTTCTGGACAGCCCTTCTGGTCCGGCCCCAAGCGTGCTCCAACACCTTTGAAGTTCGATAGCTCGAACCCCACTCACATCGGGTTCATCATCGCCGGAGCGAATCTCCACGCTTTCAACTATGGGATCAAGAGCCCGGGAGCAGACAAGGAATACTATCGCAAGGTTGTCGACAATATGATTATCCCTGAATTCTCCCCCAAGTCCGGTGTGAAGATCCAGGCCGATGAGAACGAGGCCGACCCGAACGCTGGGAATGGTGGCTCGTCTTTCGATGACAACGAGGAGATCCAGCGTCTGGTCGACTCGCTGCCATCGCCGAAGTCACTTGCTGGATTCCGCTTGGACCCAGTTGAGTTTGAAAAGGATGATGATACCAACCATCATATTGACTTCATTACTGCAGCCAGCAACCTCCGTGCCGACAACTATGAAATTCCCCAGGCTGACCGCCATAAGACTAAATTTATAGCTGGCAAGATCATTCCTGCTATTGCCACGACCACCGCGCTGGTTACTGGACTGGTTGCCCTGGAGTTCTACAAGATTATCGACGGCAAGGATGACATTGAACAGTATAAGAACGGCTTTGTGAATCTTGCACTTCCGTTCTTCGGTTTCAGTGAACCCATCCCTAGCCCCAAGGGCAAATACCAGGGCAAGGAGGGTGAAGTGACCATTGATCAACTCTGGGATCGCTTCGAAGTGGACGATATTCCTTTGCAGGACTTCCTCAAGCACTTCTCTGACAAAGGTTTGGAAATCAGCATGGTCAGCTCAGGAGTGAGCTTGCTGTATGCCAGTTTCTATCCCCCTTCGAAGGTGAAGGACCGTCTCCCATTGACGTACGTATTCTCTTAATCCCAAATCCTCTACTATATTCATTAACTAACCTTGGTACGTAGGATGAGCAAATTGGTGGAGCATATCAGCAAGAAGCCCGTTCCGGAGCATCAAAAGAACATCATCTTTGAAGTCACAGCTGAGGATACAACGGAGGAGGATGTCGAGATCCCTTATGTGATGGTGAAGCTGAGGAAGTAATGTGTCGGATCTACATAAATCTGAACGCTAGAATATGGTACCTCAAGTTTATAAACAATGATATATGACTTTTTCCTTCTTCAAGACGGCACACGTTCGCCTTCGTGCTTTTGCGGCGTAGAACAGAACATGTTTCACACCTGATAGATGATCTAATCTTGAGAAACATATAGATCTTCTCGGAGGGTTGTTCGATTAATCAACCATCTTCTAATCAACAGGTAAGCTCCAGGGGTCGGAAGTCTTGGCCGACGGGAGCCGAGTGCTTTGTCAGGTGTTATGTGATTCCGCCGTAAGCAGCGGGACCAACGTCATAGGCTGTCCCCGCCATTGGTTCTCCAGCAATATAGTTCTGGTCCTCGATGGCTACTTAATTCCTGACACCACCACCCCTCCCTTCAACCCCTTCCCATGTCTCGTCTTTTTTCTGCACTGCGTCGAACCCAACAAATCTCGCAGTTGATCACCCAACCCAGAATCCTCACATCCTACAGAAACTCCGTCAGCCCCGCACAGCTCCTCCCCTCTTCAACGCGCAGCATGTCGGTAAGTTCATACCAATTGCTCATGAATTAGCTTTTAGTTTCTTACTGAGATTATATCACTGCAGACTGGTAATGCCGATAAGATCACCGACTGGGTCAGTCGCAATGACAAATCGGGCGAGTTCAAACGCCAGACTTCAGCCTTCCGCAATTGGATCTCTAGAGAGCCAGGCGCGGAATTCCCCCCGGAAAAGGGCCGTTATCATCTCTATGTCTCCTATGCTTGTCCATGGGGTGAGTAATATCCTTTATATTCTATTTTGTTTCTGTGTTGTCGGTTCAATTTCAATCGCTAACACCATCTCCAGCGCATCGCACATTGATCACCCGGAAGCTCAAGGGTCTGGAAGATTTTATCTCCTTCACATCCGTGCACTGGCACCTGGGCGAGAAAGGTCCGGAACTTCCAAGCCTAATAAGCAAGAAACGAGTGAACTAACCAACGACTCCAGGCTGGCGCTTCGTGACCTCAGACGAGAAACTTCCCGGAGAAAACACCACCCCAGACCCATTACACTCTGATGTCACCCACCTCCGGGACATTTACTTCGCCAACGACCCAGACTACGCAGGCCGATTCACCGTCCCAGTTCTATACGACAAAAAGACACAACGTATCGTAAGCAACGAGGTAACTTCAACCTCCCCAACCCTCCAGACAACCCCATATTAACCCAAATCTCCCTCCTCCAGAGTGCCGAGATAATCCGCATGCTCTACTACGAATTCGACGACCTCCTCCCCTCGAACTCTTCCCAAAAGCTTCTCGACCTCTACCCAACCAAGCTTCGCAGCCAGATCGACACCTCGAATGAATGGATCTACAATGATGTCAACAACGGCGTCTACAAGTCCGGCTTCGCAACCACCCAAGAAGCCTACCAAAAGAACGTGACGACGCTCTTCTCCTCCCTCGACAAGATCGAAGAACACCTTCAGAGCAATGCCTCGCCGTACTTCTTTGGTTCAGCGCTCACTGAAGCGGATATCAGGCTTTTTACGACGATCGTCCGGTTTGACCCCGTGTATGTGCAGCATTTCAAGTGCAATATCCGTGATATCAGGTCCGGGTATCCTGCTATTCATCTCTGGCTGAGGAATTTGTATTGGGATATTCCGGCGTTCCGGGAGACGACAGAATTCGAGCATATCAAGTTTCATTATACGAAGAGTCATACGCAGATTAACCAGTTTGCGATTACACCTGTTGGCCCGGTGCCGGATATCTTGCCGAAGGATGAGGAGGTTAGGGCTGTTGCTGCCGTGAAGAAGTAATGTGGATAATGGAAGGAATTTCTTTCTGCACGATATGTCGATGACTAACTCTTGGATGGCCGACGAGCTGTAAATGAAAATGATTATGCTTTTGTTTTAGTAAAAATATGTTCTAAGTCACTGCGGTAAATGGCATGGATCGAAAGCCTTCGCAGGTCTAAATATATGTAAATATAGAGTAGGCCGCCCATATTTGGACAGTCGGGGAATCCAATAGGTATACAAATGGAAAAGCAAAGTGACGATATAAGCAAAACTCCGTGAATATGCTTTGTGGCACGATGTCGTGCCATGCAAGTGAGCTCAATTATGCAGTCCGGCCGATATGTTGTGTCCTAGAACACGAATGTAGATTTTCACGTTGCCAGGAACGGAACGAGAATAGCAAGGTCGTTCGAAGACTATGCAAAACTGGGAAACGCAAAGGCCTCCCCGCTATCGAAAAAAATAGTAAGCAAAAGGTGGAGATCGTATTTCCATCCAAAAGCAATAGGGGTGCCGTAGAGTGAATGGCTTGAAAGGGTATCTTGACAAATGTTCGAAATATCAATTAAAATAAGCTGGAGGATCGAATAGCAACCGCAATGAGAAGACTCCGAGCGTTATGAGCCTCTGTTGATTCTTAGGCTGGGCCCAGGCCGTAAAGTCTTTTTCTTAGCTTTACCTCAGACCAAGCATTCGTTTCGAGTTTTCATACACGACGTAGCTGATGGAAACGGCAGGTGCAACCTTCATAAGGTTCGGAGTGATCCCCTTGTAGAGGCCGCGGAAACCTTCGGTTTGAATAGTTTTGCGAGCGACGTCGCCAATGCTACTATAGGTTGCAGGGTGGAGAATGGTGCCCTGGGCCTGTAGTCGTGTTCGGAGGACGTTCAGTGGATAAACAACAGAAGCGCTGAATCCTCCGCTTATCGCGCCGATGGCTCCCGTGGTGAAATTGTTCAGTGGGACGTCATCCTCGTGGCAGTGATGGAGGCGAGCTTTCCGTGCTAGTAATCCGCGCTTTAGGTACTCGAAAGTCGTCAAGTCGATGGCGGCATATGGAAACATGCCAACAAGACCAAGAGGCAAGCCGCGAAAGAAGCCGAGTATGCCATGCTTGTTCAAAACCTTTCGGGCAGTGGCTGCGATGAGTTTATTCCCTTTCAGACCACCTTCCACAGTCTCACATTGCATCCGACTGTCAAGATCCATTAGCCTCAGATGAACATGTCCAAAAGCTAGATGCATCAGGTGACTTACAATTTTAAAGTGTCAAGGGGATAAACGAAACATCTAGCACTTCGTTAGGTGACGAGTTCATCCACAGAAGACTGTACAACATACTGAGCCACCATTCCACCACACCCTCCAGACAGGAACTGCGACGTCGGTGCAAGACGTTTAGGGTCATCATGACCTTCAAGACGAGCGAACGCGCGTTTAGCAGACTATGATATATTAGTGCCCTGCTAGAAACCCACTTCAATAGCTCAACAAGCTAACCTCATATGCTCCGAATTTAATGGCTGATTCAGGCATGACCTTCAACACATTCAACCCATTACCTATGACCATTAGATCGGGTCTGCGTTTCAAACTTCAGTCGACGAACCTGCAAATAAGCTCCGTATGCCTCCAGCACGCCACAATTCCTTGATAGCATCCCCAAGGGATTTTGATGCATTCCCTGCCGCCCGAAGCGGAGCACCATCTTTCGCCGCACAGACAGCTGCCGATTTCGCACCGGTCTGGGCAATGAGATAGACTTTAAGTCTATCTAGAGGCGCCGTTGCTGTCCTTGATACGGCACCTGCAATCCCGCCGGCAATGAAGTAACCTAATTGAGGAGTGTTCTCTGTCAACTTTCGTTCATAATATCGGAAGGACATCCACATGGCGACAGTCCTGGGTACGGTCAGCCACTCCAATTCGGAGTCACCGTCTAAGGATACAGAATCATTCTCAGGCGCGACCCCAAAGTTGAGTGCTCCGCCGACTTCCGCATAAGCTGACGGGATGAGGGCTGCCAATGCGTGAACTGGGAGAATATTGTACAAAAGGTTCTTTATGGCCAAGATATAACGCTTAGGAAACGAGTGGTCTGTACCTAAACCCTGTAGATCATTGATGTGGACATCTCCTTCCGGGTTTAGATTTCCCGTGGCCGTGTAATATGACAGGACAGCGCGCAAGTTGGAGTAGGCAGGCAGGAAGAGAAGGAAATCCCTATATATCACCGGGATTAGCCATAGCCAAGGTTCACTTGACCGATGAAGCACGTACCTCCACTCCGGATAAGAAATGACACCATCACTGTTCGTGTCCACGTCCGCAAAGAATGCGTCCAGTTTAGCGCTGGATACCGTCACGTCAGCGTTGGAAAACGCGGCTTTGAGTTCGTTCTTGTCGATTTCACCATTGTGGTTACGATCGATCGTCTGGAAAAGCTGCCATAATCCTTGTTCGGTATGATCGATAAAGGTCCGGAATTCTGATGATCATTAGGTCGGTAAAGAGACTGGCGTCCAGCCAGTTGCGACGGGAAGACAAGTCATGATCCACTGCGTGTGATCTTACCGGAGTAATCAATATACCCGTCACCATTGGTGTCAACCGCTTTCAAGACATTCTGAAGCATGCTGTCCGCATTTTTGAGGGCTGTGGGGTAACAGATCAAGAGCAGGCGGGTCAGTCAGCTGCGCAGCAAGCACGAGACTAAATCACGGCGGATGATATGCTCACGGTGATCAATCCTTTTCAGCCCTTTTTTCAAACCATGGAGATCGAGACGGCCGTTCTGCCGGACACCTAAGCTCTGCCAGAGTTTCGCGACTCTTTCGTCACGCTCATCTTTGGATTCGCCGGGTGCCATTTTTCGGTTGTAAATTTATCATCGGCTATCCGACATTATTTTCAAGGAGGGGTCACAGGACTTGAGAGCGGAGATGTCCCTGTCAAAACAGGGTGGTAATAGGGTAGACTGCGATAATAGCTTGTGCATCGAATCTGTGGAGCTGGTTTATAAAGAGAGGAGAGGTTCCGCATACATTGGTATGTTCTCTGGATGGGGCTCCGGCTAGCCGTGAGAAATCAACCCGCGATGATTTGCTTCTCTTACGACATACGCCGGAATAAACCTCGACTCCGGTCCGGCCTCACGGGACTGGAGGGCCCAGCCCTACTATACCCCTTTGGGCAATTCATTAGGTCACCTGCTCGGACGTCTTGATGTGGATGATATCAGTATACATATGCGATATTTTCGATGACCTAAGGAAACAGTCGGATTAGGTGGCTCTAGCGCGCGGTTTCTTGTCTATAGTGTTTCTTTGTGCCGATAGAATCGGGTTGATTCGGCCGTTACAGGAGCTCCGAATATTTGGATGACACATACATCCCTGATTATCATCGGGTCTTCTTCATGATGACAACGTTTTCAGTCACGACTGCTTGAAAGCCTCGAACCCTTTATTAATTAACTTTTTCTGACATTTTGTCATTGTCATGGCTGCCAATTATTGGGCGTCGACTCAACGTCGACATTGGTTGTTTACGAAAGAAAGATTGGCAGACATTCGAGAGTCCTTTAGAGAGAGAGACAAGCCCGCGCATTCGCAGTTTCCTCTGCCGGATCAGAGGCTGCTCAACATCTACTTTAGTCAACGTGAGATCTGATAACCTTTAAAGATCTCAAATAGAGTTTTAGACTGAACACTTCAACAGAACTCATAAAGCTTGGAAAGAGGATGTCAACTAGACAGCAGGCCCTCGCCACGGCTCAAGTATACATCAAACGGTTTTATACTAAGAACGAGATAAGACATACAAATCCGTATCTGGTGGTCACCACTGCATTCTATCTCGCTTGTAAGATGGAAGAATGTCCTCAACATATCCGGTTTGTGGTCGCAGAGGCCCGTAACTTTTGGCCCGGTACGAACAGCCTTGATGATAGTCTTCTTTTTGTTTGTCGCTGACTTGCCAGTAGAGTTCATTGCCCCGGACGTGTCAAAGCTAGGTGAATGCGAGTTCGCTTTGATATCCGAGATGAACTCCCAGCTCATCGTTCATCATCCATATCGGACTTTATCTGAGCTCCAACCGGAGCTATCGCTTACATCAGACGAAGTAGCTCTGGCATGGTCGGTAATCAATGATCACTATCTTACTGATCTACCATTACTATATCCACCTCATGTGATCGCGGTCATGGCAATCATTGTTGCCGTTGTCTTCAAACCGAGCCAGACGAGTTTCCATGGGACTGCTGCCCCATTGGCCGGAGCGATGCGAGATGGAGGGATGAATATCCTCGCAGCTTTGGGAGATAAGAATGGCGCTGGCCCGCCTCTCCGAATTCAGAAACTCGTTGGCTGGCTTGCCGAGAGTGAGGTTGATATTCGAGCTGTTATTGAATGCACCCAAGAGCTGGTGTCTCTATATGAGATCTGGGAGAATTATAGCGAAAAGCACTGCAAGGAGCTTCTTGGCCGGATGGTGAAGAGTAAGAATCTGGACAAGTGAGATTATGTGATGGCTCATTATACTGGCTCGCATTTCTAGTAAAATCGGGGCGTTTTACTTTTGCGTTGCATTTGGGGAGTTTGGGTAGCATTACATGGGAAACATGCGCAGTGTCACAGCAGCAGTTGTAGATACGTCTTTATTCGGTATGTGAGCCATTTATATATATAGTACTGCAAGTTTGATAAGCTGGCATGATTCTTTTGTCCTTAGGCTCTTCATAGAGGCGTATATTACTGACAACAGCTGTTGGTTTCACCCCTTTCAAAATGGATATCAATCATTTTCAGCGTCCATCGAATAGATCACCAACAATGAGTCAATCGAGTGCATATCTGGCGATTACATACCATGAGATAGCCACTAAGATGTCCAGGGCGCTCCGTAATGCCATATCGACGATCTAAACGGATTTGACACAAGAATACATGCATCTACTAAAGAAGCTTTGACTGAACCTAAGTGCAACACTAATGTCTAGGGTACTCGTGGGTTTCAAGGCCAATGCCAGATGAATAATCAGCTTAGCAAGCATTCGAGGCACGTGTATGCATAGACATATGCCTTATGCAATACTTAATTAACACTATGGCCTGGAATTTGTAGCGGCATCTCAAGTGATGGGATTTGTAAGCTACACTGCCTATTCATCTGTATCTGAATACAGAAGCGTACGGTACAGTATGTATATACCCACATACTAGAGTATCACACAGAACGCAGGGAGGTGTTTCCTGAAAGACCAGGCAACTTGTCTCAGACATGTCCTCAATGTAGCTGAGGGGTTTGGGATCGTCGTGCTAAATAATGCGTCATGGAGTCTTGAGAGGGGGGGGATGCCTCGATGCCCATGGAACGGCTGGCAGAGGAAGTGACTTAATTTTGGATCGCCAAGGGGCCCCAGATATCGATGAATCTGAAAACACGAGAACCAACCATTCCTTCAGTTGAACCCACCCGTGCGCTTGCAATAAGATCGGAAAATTAAAATCAACAGTGGGGCCTAAGACAGATGTATGTGCAACTGTGTCGGGGTGAGTCTTTTGCAACTCCTTGAGCCACCGACTTACATACCTAAGATCCTGTCTTTGGAGACAAGAGAGATAACAGTGGCTGATTGGACACCAAAACTCAATTGAGACTGGAACACGGGCGCTCCCTGAGACTTGCCCAGCAAGACAGGAGTAGATCGTGTTTCACACCCCTTGCTTTTTGGGGTACGTTAGCTTCGGTTGCCTTCGAATGATGTACCACATTTACTCCGACATTGGTGGCCTATAGGATCGCTTATGGCTCGGTCGCTGATTCGGGGTAATCAACCGGAGAGAAAGCAAACAAGTGACAGCTGCAGCCTGGTCTGTGTCGTTGAACTGTGAAGATTTCTGTGTTGGATGTACCTATCAGTTGCTATACACATGTATACTAGTTCTTGCCCTCCCTGTCCGTGGTGTCGTCTCATTATCTACCGCAAACATTATACTCTGTATACGGGTTTCTAGCCAAGACAGCACTGGAATAGTTGAGGAATGAAAGGTATAAGACTCGTATAATGTCGGAGATTAATCAACGCAATATGACTTATCATTAATAATAACATTATCAACAGAGTTATAGTCAAAGAGGGGCAGGCGTATGGCTGGGAGGGCGGAAATCCATCTCATCGAAGAGAAGGGGCGGTGAGATGAAGATGCCGTCCTTCAGGAACATTTCGCAGTATTAAGTTGGTCTCGAAGCTAAAAAAGCCCTCAGGCTCATGGACACCAAGTTACCAACACGTCCTGCATGCAGGGTGAGGGTCTCTGGCGCCAATGACGGATGGGTACCCAATGCTGCACCTGAGATAATCGGGAAAAGGATAGTACTAGTCACCCATCCCCAGGAGTCCATGTGTAGGGCTTGCAGGAGGTGTGACCCTATCAATGCCCATAATGCTGTTCCAGCAACCGCCAGCTTACCTCACAGTAGTTCCACACAGTGCATATCGCATAACGTACGGAGTCCTAGTTTTCTGTATCCTCCAACCACTCGCCTATCTCTTTCGAGTCGGGGACTCCAACAGGGAATTGAGGGAGGCCCGGGCGATCAAAGCACATACCCGGCACTTGCGTCGGGGGGGGGGGGGTTGACAGCAGAATTCAGATACATATCTATTATTATCTTTTTTTTTAATGATGATGAGCAAGCGCCGTTAGTTTGTTTCGAAAGATGTGTAGACCACATTGTGGCTGTAGCACCGCCTTTAAAAGCGGCATGAAAGTCCTGGGAAAAGATCTTTCTTTACAGGGAAGGTCGGTATTACACTATCTCTGTGGTACTTCAGCAGTATCGCTGTTGTTGTCTTTGTTTTCTGCTTCTGCACAAAATGTGTACCACTCTCGATGTTGGGTTCTGTTGTTGCTGGTCCCAAACCCAAAAAACAACAATCAATCAATCAAAATTACCTAAATTTACCCCATCAATTTCGTCCACCATGAGTCAGATTATAGCAGAAAAGTACTTTGGCTCCACGTATGCATCATACATTCTGTATTCCGTACACCACTATGACTGAATAAGGTAGTTATTATTACACCCAATACCTGAGTTAGTGCTCCATCACAATGGGGATTTTCAGATCAGGTGGAGGATAGACTTTTACGTTGGAAAACTGTCGAAGCCGCGAAGACCGCAGGCCGATGTCAGAGGGCCAGCGCAGGATTTGTTATCAATGAATGGTTGGGGGAAACAAGGATCCGCTTAGACTTCCAGGACCAAGTGGCACGGTTCAAGGGAAAGGTACCGAAAATGATGGCAGCAAATCATTCTCACCCAAAGGGGTGAAGTGGAGCCTACATGTTGCAAATCATTACCCGCACATGTCGTCGTAGGCGTTTTTCTCCCTTTCCCTCTTTTTCCTTCTTGTCTGTCTTCGGAAATGGATACCACATTCTTTCCCCCCCATCATGTTCATGAATGTCCTGAACCTGCCTTCTCCTACAATGAAATGGGGGAAAAAACTAAAAATGCTCCATCTAGTAGGGCAAAATAGACACATCCGCCCTCTTCCCTCGTTATTGGCAATAATATGATGTAGTACCTCGTCATCCCTATGCATACTCGCCATGATCTTCGTAGGTCTTACAAAATACTGTTGTAGATCCACAGCCGTTTTCAATAGTCCGTCGTACGCCGGTCGTCATCCCATAAGACAGTGTCAACGGCCATTATGTACGCATCATACAATAGGTAGTCGGGTGCACAACCGACTAACCATCATACCATCCATCGTATTGTAGCTGTACTAGCGGGTATTGATTCGTCAAGAAGATACGAGGACAGCCTTAAAGACCAGGCTGACACACTAGTGCCGGGCATTGGCCGACAGCCACTTATGCTCAATCAAGTAATGCCTAGATATCAGGTCTCGAGATGGTGGAGGTTCCTTACCCTCGATAAGGATTAAGGCGAAACTTACAACGTCACTCTATTCCACTTTGGTAGCCGCCTCGAGCCGCTCTGGTATTTAATCATTGGCTCCTGATCCAAAGTGGCTGTAATATCTCCACTTAGAGTTCACTCTGAGATCAGTTATTGGCTTTTGATACTTAGACTTGCCACTGAGCTGCCGCCAACGGCTCTCTGGTTGGGTGGCCTCCTGCCCTAAAACTGGTGCGTGACCTTGCCAGTAGCGCAGGAGGGTCGGAACGGATTTGTTACGATACTTACCACAACGCAGATGTGCCGGAAAAGGGGAACTCTTGTTGATCGCCGGGGGTACTAGTACGGTACGTTACAAATGATTCCCTTGCAATGCTCCACTCACTCAGCCCCAGCCGAATAACACTTGCAGCCCCTCTTGCTTTCGCCTCCGGGCTCTTTTTCTTCGCTCCCGGTCTTCTTTTCAACTTCTTGTCCCGCCATCGATCAGTGATTCCCCATCCCACACAACCACTAAACGCATTTTCGTCTCCGACCCTTCGCTTCAATTTTCTTCTCGTCTCCTTCAGTAATATTTCTCTTTCCTCTCGTGATCTCTTCTACCGTATCTTCAATTACATTCCAACCGACCCTTTGTCATTCTCCCTACTATTTCCTTTTAAAAGTCTGTTTATCCTCAGGATTCCAGCGTGCTGGTCCCTTGTTTGTATCCACCTTCAAGACTCAACGATATAACGGCACTGTTTCTTCCGTTTTATTTACCACGACTACACCAATATGTCCGCCGCATATTTCTACCAGCAACAGCCGCATGCTCACCACGGTGCCGCTGCGCACATGCAGCCTTCGAATAACCACCATGGCGGACGCTCTCGGCGAGGACCTAAGATGGCCACTCAAAACGCCCAGCGCCAGTTCCGGGGTGTAAAAAGTATGAGGGAGCTCGCTGAGGCTCCTGCGGTGACTGCCTTCCGCGCGAGGTTCGAGGCTGGACGGTCTTTCGACTTGGACGACGACTTGGAGTTCTGCCCCAGTCTCCTGACCGAGGACGATGTATGTTCTTCCACAGCCTGAGCATCGGCTCCCTTGACCCTTCCAGACTGGAAATCGTCTTCCTCGTATATAGTACAGGACAATCTTCTAACATGCATCCGAACCTCTACAGCTTCACTCAATCCATTCCGCTGGTTCAGATCGGTCGTCTCTTTCCAGTGGCTCTCCCGATTCGTCCCCTCTCCAGCATCAAATTCAGCCTGTTCAGCAGGTGACACCGTCCATCTCTTTATCTCCTGCATCTACCAACTCATACGTCCATTCCGGCGTTACCGGTAATCTTAATCACGTGAACTACCAGCAACCATCTGCGGTCCGCACCCGCAAGGTCATCCCTATCGTCAACCCCCATACTGGCATGACCCTGACCAGCCCGCCCACGTCCATCTCCCCGGCCTCGATGCAGAATGCTCAGCGTCGCTGGTGAGGACCGCTATCTTACCAGTCGCCATGTCACTAGCCAAGGGCCTGCGCCCATGACATGTCTTCCACTTCGTCCGGCTTCTGCATCATTGGGGTTCCCTAACCGCGGGTCTTAATTTTCGTTGCTTTGTTTACTATTTGACATGGCCATCGCATCTCTTACGACTAAACCGATATTACCTTTTTTCCGCGATAAAAGGCTAAATCATTGTTTCCTCTTTGTATATACACCCTCCTCCGATGACGATCTTGAGCACTTTTATCTAGAGTGATGCTTTCGACTTTCTGCGAGCGACGGCGCCTGCGATTCGATTTTTGCATTTTCACATTTCAGACGATACCTTGTTTTTATTCTTCGGTTAGGGAAAATACGTCCTTTTGACCTCGTGTCGTTTTGGCCGCGATGATGTATAGAAAGTGCGGCGATTTGCCATATTGGCGCGCATTTCTTTTTGGTCCGGAGTTTTTTCTTGGTGTCCTTTGGCGACTCTGCAAGATACTCAGCGGTTTGCCATCTATTTCTGATATCCTTGGTTGGTTTTGGGTGGGTCGGATTTTTTCATGCTTTTAGGGATCTAGAAAGGTGGAAACGATATACGTCTGCATTGATTGGGCCTGTGAATTGTTCGGGATGTCTCTTGTGTTTATTTGATCTTATCTTTCGCATTTGTGCCTTTACCAGATCTCTTTTCCTTTATTTCTTTCATGTATATGGGTTGGTGATGGGTGACATTTCTATGTTGTTACTTGTGGCTAACGGCTGTGAAAATCCATGGACTGGATGTGGAGTTTGTCTCGGGGTCTGTCTGGGAGACATAGACCGGTTTTTACTTGAAAACTATGTTCTTTGGTGTCGTGAATCGACCGTCAATTTTGCTTCATTTGCTTCCACGTTGACTCGTTTGGATTTTTTCGATATATCTGGGAACTCCCGGAGAGTGATGCAGTGTATGATCTTGTGTTTCCGTTCGCTTTTGGGCATTCCGTCATTCCATCCCATTTCCTTTGTCTATATGCCTTTTTCTATGCTGTGCCGGTAATGCCTAAACATAGTTGTGAGAATAGCTTTGGACACAGTCCTATTTTGTCAGAACTTCCACTTCGGTAGTCATGATTTACGTGTATAGCAAGAGTTGACACCACTGAGGGTATATCAGGTGAAAGTGTAGTTGATGGTGGTACAATCTTGATTTGATGATTCCGATTGATAGCCTTATCTACGTAGTGTCACCACACTACCCTACTCTCGTCAAACTTTAGTATGCAAGCTTTGTATCTGGGAGTGTAATGTAGGAGTGCTGGGCGCTGTAGGGCTAATCTTACGGCTCGGATGCGGCTTGGAGAAACTCTCATAGCATTACATGGATGTTATGTGCTAGCCTTATTAACAGGGCTATGTAATTAGCAGGAGAAACTGTTGCTAAGAGAGTAGAAAGAACCGGAACTTTCAAGTGCCTCATCTGCTTCCTAGGCCAAGTAGTACAAAGAACCATCTTGGCATATTTAACTTATTTTAATGTCGCGCAACAACACCAACACTCCTCGCCTGGGTAGTCATAAAGAACTTGAACTAGAAGGACAAGGAGGAGCCAGAGAAGACAATGAAACTCTAGAATGCCCGACACTATATCTCAATTATTAAAAGGGGGTTATTATCTCAATATTCCAGCAATATATTCCGTACATAATGGAATATATAAAAGCCTCTTCAGAAAGAGTTACTCGTATAACAAAAAATTGACTCTATATTCACATTTGTTCTGTGCACGATTTCCAATCTAGATGTTTCGGAATGAAGACGACCACGATTCTATCTGGATTGGTCCTCGCCTTCCTCTCTGCCAACCAAGCACAGGCAGTCCCCGCTGGAGGACAGATAAATCAATCCCCCCCAACAATTACCTTCAATAGAGCAGCAATTCCCCAATCTGCCCAGACCCTTCCTCCAGACAACCTTGTACCACCATCAACAGGTAGTGACCAGGCCCAAACGGTCCAGCCCGGACAACGGGTTCCCTCGAAACCATACAGCGCCCCCCCCCCCCAACCTCAGTATACGTCCCCGCAAAGTATCAACATCCCGGATACTGGGGAGAACTGAGAGATCTAAATCGTAAGGGAAACGAACAGATGCCAGCAGCGGGACAGGCCCCTCTTTGGATTAACGGTGTTAGTTCAGGCCATGAATGAACGACTGGTTACTCGGCTAACTATGCATTCTGTACAGCAATGCGAGATGGTAGCAGGGTCAGCGGGCATGTGCAAAGTTACATATAGGACGGGGACACGGGATAACATTTGGGAATCGCGATGTAGACGCGAATCTCCGGTAAGTTGAACATCTCCCTGCCAGGGTTAATATTGCTTTGTACTCGGTGCTGATCCTCTGGTAGTGTGCGAGACATGGGAACCCGTGTACTGTTAAGACGATTAAGAATAGTCAAGGAGGGTATGAAATTACCGTGACGCTTTCGTTTTTTGCTGCGAATCAACAGACGTTTCCGGTTAATGTTTGATTGGGGAGTGGGGATATACTTCCATCTGAAGAGTATCTTCACCCGTCAAACCACCGGGTGGCTTGACTCTGTTGTGTGGGGGCTCAGAGGGATATACTTGTATGGTTATTTAGACATGTGTTGATAGAGCTACTAGTTCCGGTGCTGAATGTGAGATACTATCGGAGAAGAGTGTTTCGGATAAGTGGTAAATTTAACCGATGTAAGTTCATTGGTTTATCTGTAGTGACAGTTGGTGCAATGATGCCCATTCAGTCTTTAATTTTTTTTGTTGTCCAGACACTCTCTAGGCCTAGATTATAGTCTGGGTTACCATCGATACTCTGACTGTTCTTGGAGTTCTCAATATTCCTCGAGGTAGCAGAATACATAACTATACCATGGAGGCGATCTGTATGTGGTCACCTAGGATAAACGCGACTAAATGAAATGGCAAGCAAACAACTGTGCTCACCAAATTCTTATCCATTGCATCCCTTTCAGCTACCATCGTGTCTTTTAATGTGCGCAAGCTCATAAGAACACAGCCAAGTATGCCCATACTCCGGAGTATATACAAGCTGCCAAGGCTTGATATGGGTGCAACCCCTGCTCGTGATGTCATCCCCATGATGATCAACAAAGTCCAAAACAGCCTCGACAATTCACATTCACGACAACACCTTAGACGACAAATAGAATAGATAGAACTAGGCTACACTGTTTCCCTAAAAGTGCATATCTTCCAATTACTAGGTTAATGAGAACACACGAAAAAGGTACGGAGAATGGATTGAATGTCCTCGCTGCCAAGAAAGACCAGGATTGTGTATGAGTGACGTCACTGGTGACATTCTGGACTTTCTGTCGACAGCAAACCCACTCGCTCACATGGAATTACGAAGGCAATGAGAGAATAAATGCGTGTGGTCTTCGGCTGTTCTTCTGTCTCTCTTCCTTTTCTGCGAACCATTATAAATACAACAAGTTGTACCGCATCGAAAGCGTGCAAGACACATACTTCTACTTTCCACAATAGATCAGACTACCTTTTCTTGATTTGGTAAGGCTCCTCCCTTATTTCATGCAATGGCTTGTATATGCAGTGATGAGAGTTGCTTCTAACAGCTCTAGTCATACAAAAACCTACCATCCTTCGAATTTTAACAACTAATTGACCAACTGACCGACACCATGTCCTTCCTCACTTCCACCATCCGCTCAACAATCGCCCCCCGTGTGGCCCTTCGACCATCTTATACCGTTTCCTCCGCCTTCCATACCTCTCCTCTTCGTTCGGGTCTCAAAGAATCTGATCACAGTTCGTCACTCCCCTTATTGCCCCGGTTTGAAAGCACACTAGTCTAACCCTTCTACCCCCAGACCGAGAGGACCTACATATCACCTACGAAGAGCACAAACAGGAGCAATTGAGAAGTACCAAGGAAGGAAAGGGGAAGTGGAAGCAGGAACTTGCTAGTAACAGTGAAGCTTCGGTAAGTTTTCCCTCCTTGCCTCTTTTCTCATTGTAGGTAGAGGGGGAGAAATAAGGACGATCATAATGTTGATGTCATATATAGGTCAAAGCGGATCGGGGTGAGCTCGATAGTGACGGATACGATCTGAAAAATCTACAAGAGAAGACAAAGCATCTACCCAACCAGGAGGGGCCAGGGAGTAAGACTCAATAAAGGGATTGATCTTAGCTTCCTTTTTTCCTTCTTTTGTACTATTGTCTTTTCTTAATCGGTGTACTGGGTATAAACTGAGCTTTAAGAAGAGGTGCCTGATTTGATAAACTTAACCTAGTCCTTCATGGTGTCATGTGTAACTACCCCTGAGGAATAAGATCGGGTGTATGATATTGATATGGGATGTAAGATGTAGATTGTGTAGGGCCCCAAGTCCCTGTTGGGAGCTGCATGAAACTAGTGTAATGAAATAATTGCTGCCATATAACGAACAAATCCGTAATTTATCACTCCAGACACCATATAAGTTCAAACATCAATATAAGGCAAACCAACGATCCATTCATAGGGAATCCCGCCCCCCGGCCCAAAAAAGAAACGCCCTGCGCCTTCCAGAGAAACACGCCCTTGATCAAAGCTCACAAGAATGTGAAGTTTACCAGAGGTTCTATACGCTCTAGGCTTTATTTCAAAATGACAATGAGAATGACCAGGATAATGATCAAACCGACGATTGTCATCAAGCTCCAATTGTCACCCGCGCTTCTCCGGATCTTGTCCAGTCGTTTTCTAGCCCCATCTAGCCGATGTTGATGTCGGTCAACATCACCGTCCATACCGTCTAACAGCGCGACGTGGCCTTCTAATTCATCCCCAATCTGGATACTGAGTTGGTGTTGTCGTCCGATGGATTCGCCTAGACGATCTAACTGTTCGTCCTGGTCCCGCATGATCTCATTGTGTCGATCATATATTTGTTCATTCGACATGTCAGATTGATCTACACTGGGAGGGGAAGGTGAGTCGCGGTAAGGGTGGAAGAGGTTTTGTCGCTCGAGATCGGCTTCTTCTGTAGCCGAGTTCATGAACCGCACTGACTTTGAAGGAGGGTGCTGCGGAACCGGCTGTTTGAGATCAGGAGACGACTTGACATTGGCGAATTCAGGCGATGGGGATGAGCCGCTGGCGCCGGCTGAGGTGCTGTGTCCGCTGAACTGAGATGACAAATCTTGATACTGCGATTTCAAATGGAATAGCTGGTCTTTCAACTCGGCGGCGCCATCATCGTGGGCCTGCTCCAGCTGGGAGAGGTCCCTTTCGACATCCTCGATGCCGTCGTGCAACGATTCCAAAGAGCGAGAGATCTCTCCGTCTTGGCTGTTGGGTTCCAAATCCAATGAGATCGCTCGCTGTCGTTCTAGGAGGGAGAGTTTGATATGGTCTGCAAGAAGAAAGAGCTGCGATGGGTTTGGCATGTTGAGGTGAGACGGTGGGCCCGGAATGAGAGGGTGATATGTCGCGAATTGGCGAGTGAAGTGTCGCAATCCGTCTCAGCCTGGCTGATGAGGCAATGCGGAGAAGACAAAGACTCGGGTAGATCCTGGGAGTCTGACAAATTCGGGGTCGGTTTACCAGGAAAGGATAGAATTATGACTCGCTCGCTCTGATCGACACAGCGAATAACTCCAGAGTAATGGTTAAAACAATGGCAGTAATGGTGGAATGAAGATGGAGGAGGTGTGACCGAGGGGGTGAGACGAAAGACTGTTCTCGGCCGGGCGCGGGAATGATCTGCCGCTGCCGCCGCCCAGTGGAATTACTATCAATTATCGTCCGCTCAACTCGTCCCCCGCAATACTTCCGATTTCCTTTCCTTGTCTCCGGTTCTCCGAGTTCTAACTCTACCTCTACCTATTTCCAACTCTTTCCTTTGTGATACTTCGTCGAAATTTGTCGCTATCGTCGTCCAAGTCAGCACATTCCTAGCGAGCTTCAGCCACCGTGTAACCCCTCATGCGTGCCTCTCGGCGCTATTGTTTCATCCTGGTATCCCTTCGGCAACTCGAAAGACGATCCGTTCTCGATCGCCCCCTACATTGATTGTTACTTGTACGACAAGGCTGAGGGCCTTTGAAAAATATAAATCTGGCGCACTGCGAACCGGGCGCACTTGGGCAAGATGAATATCGACGAGTTTCTTGCGATGGAGCCGAGCAGCGACCTTGATGAGATTGTCGACCTCCGCTCTTTGGACTATGTTTCCCAGTATGACGATCATCTCATGTGTGCAATATGCCACTGTCCATACATACGCCCAGTGAGATTGCAATGCGATCATGTGTTCTGCCAGAAATGTCTGAACACTGCTATCACCACCTTTGCGACCGGTCGAGACGAGTTCAAATGCCCTACCTGTCGAGCGCCAGCAAGAGGGGTCTACCTTAACGTCCCTCGATTCTTGGTCAATATGTGCGACGATATACGGGTAAAGTGCCCTTTTGGGGCTGAAGGCTGCGAGGAAGTCGTTCCAAGAGGCCATATTCAGTCCCATGTGGACAAATATTGCGGCTACAGACTTCTGGATTGTCCCGATGTCTTCTGTACGAAGAAGACTCGAAAGAAGGACCTGAGCGCAGAAAACAAATGCATGCATGAGCTTCATAAATGCTCACGCTGTGATGAGGAGATCATGGAACAAGATTATCAGGTGCGTCTGATATACCGTTGCCAACCAGGCGGTGACTAACGAAGGCTTTCAACTGCAGGAGCATGTTCAGGAACTGTGCCCGAGCTTGAAAACTACATGTCCTGACTGTGAGACTACGGTATTCCGCAAGGCTTTGAGGGAACACATAGATGCATGTCCAGAGGCGATCCATAGCTGCGCAGCATCTAAGTACGGGTGTCCCGTCAAAGTTAAACGAGCGGAGCTAGTAGTGCATGAGCAGAATTGCCCGTTGATAACCATGGGCCCTTACTTTGAAGCTCAGAATGCTCGACTTGATTCTATGGAGTTGACCATCCGTCATCTCCAACAGCGCAATGAGATCTTCGAGGATGGACTTGCGAGCATTCGGTCTACTCTTGTCGAATCGTCTCGCGTCATGTCTGCACGGAATGCAGACATACCGGCTGAGGCTACTAGTCAGACAAGACCGTCGAACCCATCTGACACGGCAAATGAACAATATGACAATTCTAACGCCTCATCTAATGCGACTACCTACCTTCTCGCTCTCCATGAGTCTCTTCGAGATGAAGTTGGACAGTTATCACATGCAATCACGGATCTAGATGCTCGCGCTAGCATGGCGATCATGAACGAGTGCCTTCGATTAAAAGAGGATATGGCCCATACGAACGCTGCTGTGAGCAGCATTCGAATGCAGGTGCAATGGCTCATGAACCCTCGCATCCACCAGGGCCAGGGCCAACGGACAGGGGTTCGTACCAGCAGCAATAACGGCAATGAAACACGAGCCGGGCAGCTCGGCTCCTCGGCGGCAGGACCAAGCAATGCTGCTGCACCATCTCCGGGCTTTCTTCGGCCCCGAAGACTCAGCGACAGCGGACGCGAAGGGACCAAACTTTGATAGAGTGCGTGTGCGCACTATACTTCGACTCAACGAATAATGATATCTGCTTTGCTCCTTTCCAGAATAGGTCTGAAGGGATGGCGCTGTATGTTTTTCTCGACTGACTTTCTGATACCCAGCGTCCACATTCGAGTGTACTGTAGCCTATAGATAGCCTTGTGATATTCCGGTGATAATTGTTGGTACTGGTCTGTACTAACTCTGCTGTGCTGCCAGGCCTACTACTGTTTCATCTTCTTTAATATAGAATACTTTAACAAACTTTGTGCTATCTTATGTATTGCTAATATCTTTGTGCCACCATCGTTTAAGAAAGGTCAACTTCTTAGTTCAACTGATGACAAGGACAAACAGTGTATAAATTCTATACTGTAATAAGGAGGGTATATAGTCAAGATTCGTACAGGGACATATCAATGTAGGACAGCAGTTCACCCGTTCATGGGCAACGCCGCGCTTTATCTTTCTTTCTTTTTTTTTTTTTTTTTTTTTTTTTTTCCCTTCTCCACATTTCCTTCCAACTCCGCTTCGACCTTCCAAATGAACCGTAAGAGACTCGATCATCCCTGTTTCAGCGTCTCCGAAACACGTATCAAGTCTCCCCTGCATAGCTTTTCACACGCATGAAACAAAACACACAAACATCAAAACAGCGGCATATTGACCGAGTTCACATAATCAATATTATCCTTCGTGCCCTCGACGCGGTCGTGACAGGTCCCGAAAATGCGGTCCCAGAGTCTCGTCTGCTTCCCGTAGTTATGGCTCTTGCGCCAGCCCTTGCGATGATGGAGGTCATGGTCTTCGATGACGATCTCGGCACCGAAGAACTCGAGCAGCAGGGTCATGGTGGATGCGCCGGTTGAATGCAAGCGCAGGCCGCTGTGGCCCAGCACCTCGGTGAAGGCGATGTACTGGTGGCAGAGCCACCAGTCGTAGAAGCCGAGGGGGAGGCCCATGAGCCTGAGCGTGAAGTAGGTGGCCATGGGGACGCCGACCATGTCGAAGAACTCCTGCTCGTGGTCTGCGTAGGCGGCCAGGAGGGGGTTGGGGTGCTTGGTGAGGTGGTGGGTGCGGTGGAATTTCCACAGGAAGCTGACGTCGTGCATGAGCCGGTGGTACCAGTAGAACCAGAAGTCGAGCACGATGCCGTAGAGCCCGATCTGCAGCGGCAGCAGGGCCCAGTTCAGCTGCGAGGGCAGCTGGTTGGCGTTGTAGGTGAGGTAGGTGGCCAGGGCGATGCGCGAGCCTGTCGTCTTGTACAGGGATGTGACGACTTTGCCGATGCCCACGTCCGGGACGCCGTCGCGTTCGTGCTTGTCGCCGTCCAGGAAGCCGTAGATGTGGCCCAGGCGGCGGAGGATGTGCACTTCGAAGATCACGACGGCGTTGAAGGCGAAGAAGTAGAAGTTGAACACGGCTATTGGGCCCAGGTGGTGGCCGGTGAAGGTGGTGTAGACTTGGTGTATGAGGAAGGGCAGCGAGCCGTAGAAGAGGACCCAGAGGTTCAGAGACCATTGCGTGAGGTAGGGGACTTTTTCGTCCTTTTGGTGCACGGGGATTTCCTTGTTGAGCTCGGTTGGGTGCACGTTAAGCAGCTCGATGGCCCAGTGGTTGATGTTCCATTCGTCGCGGCTGGCGGTGCGCCAGGTGGACTTCATCGAGTCCTTGGGGTTGGGCTGGGTAGCCATTTTCGCTGATATTGACCTTAGTCTGTGTCTCTTGGATACGGCCGCCCTCTTCTGGGGAGGGTTGGCGAGGGAGGAGCCATTATTTTATATCGTTGTCGCTAGATGGGGGCCACCGGTAGGGAGTGTGTTTCTACATGTGAAAGTGAAGGAAGAAAAGAGGCTATTTTGCAGTGCAGAAATGGAAAATACTGGAGTGTAGATCATCATCTGTAGATCCTTTTTCCCAACAAAAGAGAGCTTTGGCCCCTGAATGGGCTACAGGAGTGAGGGTCCATCAAACTAGAGCCCCAGATCGGTAGTCAACTATGGTTCGCATGTGAAGGAACCCCCAGTTGACATGACTTCCCGCGCAGGCATGCCTCGGGGTCTCGGGCATCGAGTCAGTCGGACTACATTTAGGTATTTTTTCTGGTCAGGCAGAGTTGTTTTGGGGGCATAGCAAGCTGGTTGTTGTTGTTCGGCATTGTGTTCTATGGGGATGGGGTTTGCCGTTGTGCGGGGGATCCTATTCCAACTTGGGAATGGGTTGCGAGAGCTTGCTGATAGGCGACTCCGGGGTGGGTTCCCAGTCCAAGATCTAAGCTACACTTCTGTTGTCATTGGGTCGATACTACTACTCCGGGATGGTCGAAACAAGACCAAATAAAATGAAATGAGTCTTCGTAGATGGCTCAAAAACTTGGGAGCCTAGGCATTTCGGTCCAATATCATCATGCAATCAGTCTCCTCCATGGGTTGGAGAAAAGTGTCCCATTTCGTAATAGAAAATGTCAAGCGTAGCCCTGAGTAAGCCAATCTCAAATTAATGCCCACCATTTCGTTAAGTTGCTTTGAGTGGTCATTCCTCATTATCTGCAAGGAATTGGCTTGGTGGCTGACAAGATTTATGATCACCACGCTTGTGACGCAAATTGCCAAATGTAGAGAGTAGTTTGGTGTTTCATTTACCTACAATATGAGTAATGGTAAAAAGAAAGAGGAGGGAATACTTCCTTTATCAAAAGATCCTACACCTCTCGACAGTTCTTATAGAAAGTAGTACAAAGAAGAGGTAGACTGCGGTGGCCCCTGGGACCACCATACGGTTGCAAGAACACGATTATCTTACAACTTTGAACGACATCAAAATAGTCTTTCAAGGGCCCTTGTGGAGCAAATCTAAGAGTACTCGTTTTCCAGGTAACACTACAGATATTGATTCCACCAAGGAGATATGTTGTGCTATTAGCAGAATCACCATACATCTCGCTGGAGGAATGATTTATGTACTACGCCCTGGCCATATTGCACAGTCAGCGATATGCGTAGACCTGGCATACAAAACGCATTCCATTCCGGTAACTAATACGACCAGTAGCATTACACGTTCACATGTAGTGCACGATCTTGCTTGACGTGTCATAGCCTAATAGGTTAGTACCGGGCACCAGGTTTAGCAATCAAGGGAATAATACATATGGCAATGACTCACTGGGCCTGCGTATCGGGTGAAAAGGACATGGACTTGCAGGTCATTCTCATTCTACTAACTTCCATCTCTAAGATGTACCCCTCATCGTGAGCTGTTCATAGACTTTGGTCACAAACCAAAGTCTATCTTTTTTGCACATGAGTTTTCCAAATTGTACAAACACTTTCCTACATTGAAAGCACTGGAGATTTATAGAGCTGAACATAATCTATCAGCTGGAGCAGACTTAAGTGATCTGGGAGTTGTATATGACTCTGTAGAAGCTAACTTCCATCATCTGACGTGTACTTGGCTACTCCTCTGCAATGACACCCCAGTCACGTTCAGCATAGGAATGAATCGGCTGGATATACGTCAGCAGTAAAATCCTGAGCATATGACGCAAGATGCGAGAAAATTCTTATTGATCATGATGCTGATCCAGCGGCATGACGCCACCTTAACAAGGGAATACAGTGCCTAGTAGCAGGGATCTAGTCAATCAATATCTGTTGGGACGAAAACCATCCGTTTCATCCTCTTGACTCACAGTAGATGCTCTTCTAGTGCTCACTCGCGCGAAAGCCCTTGCTTTGGGGAGAAGCAGGTACTGAGCCCCGCGATTCTTATCATCCGAGGTGATGCGGGCATTCCATATGAATAATACCCTGCTTCGGGAGCCTGGGGTCCTCCTTGAGTAACATGGAAAATGCAAACTTCTGGCGCACATTAAGAGCCTTGAGCAGATGCAGATAGTTTAATAGGTTTCTATAGACCTATGTAAGAAACCATGAAGTTCTTGTGAACTCTCGTCGTGTAGAAGGCAGATTATCATTGTCTCAGCCAAGGTCAACGGGCCACGAAAATCTCTAATCAGTAGATATTGCAATTCATACGAGGGCGCACTTATAAAAACATTAGACACATAGCCTAGTATGCAAAGCGGTATGTATCGGACGCTTCTCAAAAACGACATTGAGGAAGGGAGTTCTTCCAATGGAGATTAGTTCTGCATACTGAATAGGGCTGCATAAGTTTTTGATGGGGTTCATGCCGTCTGCCCGCTTGCAGGATCCGCCCCACACCGACCATCCAATGAGCGTCTGAACCGAACCCTTGCTGTTTCAGCACCTTGAGATCAGAATTTGATCCCAGAAAAAAAAAAAGTCATAACAACATCTGCTGGATGCAAAAAGGGAAGCCGAACGCGGGGGTCGAACCCGCAACCTTGAGATACCGTGACGACTAAGAGTCTCACGCTCTACCGATTGAGCTAGCCCGGCTTCTATTGAAGGCAGGGAGCCCTAGATTGATATATGAGTAGTGGCTGATAACCCTAATCCACGCACATGGTATCGGAAGACATGGAGGGCCCAGGTTTGGAGGTGAAGAAGATGTTCCTTTTACTGAGCGATATTTCAACTACACTCTAGATATCTACTCAAGTCGGAAGCTTGGAGTCCGACATTTCATCCCCTGGGTACGTTGTAGTGTATAATGGATATATAAATCCACGCAAGCTATAGCTAGATTAGCAGTCTAGTGTCTACAACAGTACAAGTAATGCATAGAATAGTACTAGACCAAGCTAATCACCGTGAATTGGATCCTTAGGTTACGACACACAATACCAAGCAGTGCGGTGAGCTGTAGATGAGATGCCTGTTAGATCACTCCCCGGCATTGTGGTCCACAGGGTTTAGGCCATCTCGCCGAGAAACCCGACGAGGTGTTGAGTATCCTTGTGAGAAATGGGTTGAAGGGGTTTGAAGAAGACACCATGGAAGCTGCGGCCTGAAATCCAACCTAGTCAGTAGTGGTGCTATGTAACTGTTTGATATCTCAATACCCGGACAATTGTTCACATGTGCCAATAGTGTTGATGCACTGCTTTCTTCTTCTCCAGGATGGGACCATAGTAAATTCACTCATAGTAAATGTTGGGATATATACAGCTTTCCGACCATGTCTAAGTAGTACTCCCATAGATACTGTCCGTTCAAGCATGCTCTTCATACCAAACAGTGATTTGCGCGAGTAACCATGGACCTTACATAAATTAAGAAAATTTTAACTGGCCTGCCTTTTGAATTTCGGATCTGAGAACGAAGTAAGAATTCGAATCCGTCCCAAGAATGCTCAGGACGTTAAGTTTACCTTGGAGGTAATACAAAGCTAACCCTAGGATCTTCAGATTGTTGGATAATCAACTACAATCATTCGGATAGACAAACACCTATTTACTAGCACTTTAAGACCTCACATCATATTATGTAAGTGAATTGATAGTAATTGACGCCCTCTACGTAATTACGCTTATAACGTTAAATATGATTAATCCCATAATCTCAAGCCCTGTGTTGTCCCCGCTGCTCGCCATACTTTAGCCTATTGAATCCCCCACTAAGTACCTAATACTTGATTAATTTCCCCACATTAAGTTGGTGATACGATACATCTGTACATCCCCTCACCACCAAATCCCACCAAGCCCCTCAAACAAACACCATAGATAAACCCCAACCAACAAGAAGAAACAATGTCAAACACAAAAGCCAACATCCTCCTAATCGGCAGCGGCGGCGTGGGCACCATCGCGGCCCTAAACCTAGAAGCCGGAAACCTCGCCCAGGTAACCGCCGTCCTACGCTCCAACTACCAAGCCGTAGCATCGAACGGCTTCAACATCACATCCTGCGACCATGGGACCCTAAAAGGGTGGAAGCCTACCACCAGTACGCCGTACCCTCCAACCCAGCCAGCCCAACAACCCAGTGACAATTCCATATATCCCCGCTGACCATATCATCTGAACCCCAGCAACAAACCGCATCCCGGAGAAGATGGCACCAGAAGCCCCAAAATACGATTACATAGTCTGCACCACGAAAGTAATCGCCGATTGTCCCCCACTCACAGCTGATCTGATTAAGCCGGCCGTAACACCGGGACACACTGTGATCGTGCTGATCCAGAACGGACTGAATATCGAAAAGCCCTATTTCGCGGCCTTCCCGGAGAACATTGTCCTCTCGGGAATAAGCATGATTGACTCGCATGAAGTTGCGCCGGGGGTGATCGAGCATGGCTCCGCGGATGATCTGGTCATTGGTGCGTTTCGAAATCCGAATTTAGATTGTGCTGTTGAAGTCGCGGCTGCAGAGCGCTTCGTGGGCTTGTATTCGGCGGCTGGAAAGACGAAGTGTATTCTGGGACTTGATGTGGCGTATAGTCGCTGGAGGAAGCTGATTTTTAATGCGTGCTTGAATTCGATTTGTGCGCTTACGGGTCTGGATACCGGGCGTATTCGCCTTGCCGGGGATGCGGTGGAGATGCTTGTTAGGCCTGCGATGGAGGAGATTCGTGCGGCGGCTGGGTCTGTTGGGGTGAATTTGCCGGCGGAGGTTTGTGAGGAGGTTATTGGGGCTTATCCGGTGACTATGTATTTGCCTCCGAGTATGTTGGAGGATGTTTGGAAGGTTTGTTGATTCTCTTTTCATGGTTGGGGAGTTGGATGCTGATATGGGGTTGTTTCGCTGACGGTTCTGATAGGGGAATCTTATTGAGGTCGAGAGTATCGTTGGAGAACCCCTTCGGGTTGGTCGTGCTAATGGGGTGGCTATGCCTACTCTGTCTGTTTTGTATAATTTGTTGAAGGGCGTTCAGTGGAAGACGAAGGAGCAGAGGGGGCTGATTGAGATACCAGCTCAGGGTGGTTCTGTCGCAGAGTCATAAAACTAGCAAGATAGGTAAGCTCTATATTGCTTCAAGTACAGACATCAAACTTAGCATTGGCATCAATAATTTCACATAAAATCAATATTTCCAACCGAACTAGAGACACTTTGCTTGAGCTTCTGGATATAGATGACATTCTCTGATCAAAACTAGGAAAGATATACCCAACTCTCCAATACTTACTCAACATTATCCGAAGAGCTATGCATTATTCTGGTGCGTTCTCCAACTCGTCCACAATCCTCTGTGCACGCTCGAGGGTCGCCTGAGCTGTATCAACCTTAAGCTGCAGCGTTCTCGCCATTTCAGGAAACCTCCTTGCCTCAGTAACCTCACCCTCTTCCGCAATGATACTGTGGAGATCATCACATATATTGCCTACCTGCTCACCTACCATGCGCCTCATTTCCTGGCAAATTTCTCTGACACTAGCTCGGAATTGGGCTTCGCTGATATTGGTGAGATTTGGGAAAAGGTTCGAGTTCGTGAGGTGGCTACGCATCAGCATTTTCTTTCGAGAATCAGACCCTGCGCCTATTAAATATTAGCCTGCTTCCGTATATATAACAGATAAAACAAGATTGAATCAACAAGAAAGTGTTCTTACCTGATTCACTGTTGCATTTGTTATACACAGGTCGCATTAAACCTGCAATATAGGAGCTATCGTGGCCGTGGAGAGTGTCTGTTTCTACTCGACTGTGCGAATTGAGGTTAATTCATGGTGCTTGCATATCCAGCAGGAGAGCGATAGATTTACCTTAGTTCTTGAAGTAATTGATTTAGAGACTGGTTAATAGCCGCGATCACGGAGTTCTCCCAGTCGTCCATGTTGTCGATGAAGTTTTCCAGAGCCAGGGGAGCTAGATGCATTATATCTAGGGTGGGTTAGTGGCACATTCGGCTAGAGGTGGTTGGTACCGCATACCCTCTATTTGGGCTTTGTTCTCCTCAAATGCCCTTCTCACAGCCTCTCCTAATGTAAGTTTCTGAATAGAAACCCACCCTTGTATGGATTCCCAGCGCTCTTTGAGGTAAAATCGCATGCCTTCCAGCAATTCCTCATTCCAACAACGATAGTTAGCAGCCTTGGTAGAATGCGTTCCATAATTTCGACAGAAAGCGGAGTAGGTCATATGATGCCACTGCGATACGTCAGACTCTTAGTGGTGATGTGAATTGCTAACTCATAAACTAACGCATTCCCAGGTCCTGCTAGTTTGTAATGCGCAGCGTTTCCATATGGGGAAGCGCTCATCTACAGTATGATTGTTAGTCAATGTACTGATTGATCTCATGACAGAATACTCACATGACACGCTGAGAATGTCATCGTGAAACCGATCTTCAAGTCTTCTTGGAAAGCCTCGAACTTCTGAATTTCGAAGGATAAGCCGCTACTCTATGTCAGCTGGGAGCAGTTTCGCATATGATGCTTATACCTCGCGAAAGACGTTCTCCACATCCCGTAATACTTGCCGAAGTGCAACGGCTCGTTCTACAGTTACATCATCTGAGCCAGCAAGAACCCATTGCCTCACGGATCTCACAACAGCCGGAACGCGATGCTTTATAAACGCAGCTGTAAAACGAAACTGAGCGTCTGCCGGGACCAGTTGACAATAACGACGAAGTTCTCGGATACCGCTGAGCCCGATATAAGTGTCGGCGTGTCTGTTTGCATCCTGGCGGTACTGGGAATACCACTCGTTACTGATGCAAAAGACCCGGACTTCAGCACCGTGGTTTCGAAGTAACTGATTTGTGACCCTCAGACTCCGGCCCTCAACCAAGAACCGGTCAAGCCTATAAGAACATTAGTGATGACTTTATCTTTCTCCTTATATCTCTTTTTAGATTTGTAACGTACTCAAGCTTTGCGTCTTCCTGATTTTCCCTACATTGACTCACGTCAGTATTGGAGAAACAGTACGCGCACAGGTGCAAGGCACAAGATCTCACATGAGCCGAAGTATCTCACTGTGTCTCTGCCTAGAAATTCGTTCCCTCGTAAGACGTCTGTTAATATGCCTAAGCCTATTCTGTAGCTGCTCGATTTGCGCCGTAAGGTCACGGCAGTCGCGAGCCGTTTCGCTTGCATTTACTTCCTGAGTCAAGTAAGCACTCGATCTCCAGTAATGGCATATCAACATAAGACGGCCATACTTCACTGCGTGTGCACACTATACGCAATGGTTGTTCTTGGGTGCAGCGTCTCTTTATTTCCTCGATACTCTGGTCGGAAACACATCGGGAAATTGTCGTCACGACGAAAACCTCGTTACAAGAATGTCTGAGGTACTTTTCCGTCGCCCGAACTCTTGCGAAGTTCAGGTCACGGAAGCCTAGTTTTTGGTATTAGTGTATAGGGAATTCGAAGTGTAGGAATCAGGGGACGAACCGGGCAAGTCAGCCAGTACCAGCCCTGTTTTCAAGACAGGTGATCGTAGGTACACCCTACAAATGTTAGCCAAATAAAGTAGAACTACATAAATCACACATACCTGATCAGTTTAATGAAGGGCCAGATGGCAACCTCACTCTCATCGCGTGGATCCATTGTAAGCATATCAAGCTGCGATCTACATTCTTGGACATTACTCGGAATAATGGTGTGCTGAAGCGCTGCACCCCCAGGGCGGCGCGTACATGACTGAGCTGCCCAATCTCCAAGCTGCTCCAATATTCTAGATAATGCATCGTCAGTCTGGTCGGAAAGAAACTCGTGTGTGAGCTCCGGTTGATCTCTAAAAAGTGAGTTCAATGTGCTCCATGCTCTGGTTGACCGGTCACGGATTCTCTCCTGCTCTTCTATACTAGTCACTTCGCGGTAGAGATCGGTGTAGTACATCCTGAAGCTCTGAACGAGCTCCTCTAGCAACTCTTTCACTTCTTCTTCATCCATGTAGTCAACTTCAATGGTGTAGCGATCTGGGTGGCGCGCATCCGTGTGTCGGAACTCAGTAACTACCGAGGTACATGCGGCACCATCACCACTCTATGCATACGGTGTCAGTATATTCTCGATATGAACCATCTCTTTCCAGGAAATGTGGACCTACTGAACGGGCGAGGCCTTCTTGATCTAGGAGCGAGTTTATCAGTCTACTCTTGCCGACTCCGGAGTTGCCGATGAACCCCACCGTGCGCGTCTCGGGACATTCGAGTTCGTTCAACATGCGCACCTTCTCGCGCAGTTGGAAGAGATCCGAATCACGGTCACGAGACAATGGGGATCGGTCTATATAATTTTGGAGGGCTGACAATTGACTCTTGATGCCTCGGAGGATTTCCTGTAAGTCGGCATTGTATATAGGTGCACGAGGTAAGCGCTCGCGTCGCACATTGTACAAGGAAGAGCCGTCACTGTCAGTTGCGTCGTCCTCGTTTTCGATCTCACTCAATTGGTCACTATCATCGCTCAGAGGCCCATCATCGTTCAAATGAGAATCCTCTAAATCGCTGGCTAAACCATCAACGGTTGAATCGCGATTCAAGGTAGACTGCACGCGTGACGGCTCTGGCGAGGGCTCCGGCGTAGCATTGAACAAGCGCCCGTACGTGGATGTGGATCTGCCTGGGGACAACCCAGTACTTTGTCGCCGAGCATCATGCCTCCACGAGGGTGTTCGATGCGATGTAGGAGTTTCTTGGAGATTCAACGTCCGCAAAGGCTCTGCGACACCCAAGCTTAGATTTTCACGGTAACGAGGAGTCGCCGTGCTCTGGCTTGGAGTGTAACCGCGGTGACTGGAGTCTCCAGAGTCAGACGCAGAAGACGTTTGTCCACCTTGTATTGATGATGAAGGAGGGTCTTCGTCTGCTGCAACTTCCACAGAAGGTATAATAGCTCTGAAGTTGAAGTCTAGGGTAGAAAAATTGGAACCTTGGGGTGAAGTCCCCCTGAAAATATAAGACCGTGTCATTAGATCAAAGACAGTTAATTTTGGCTTCTTTGTCGTTACTATCGGTGTGATGTGAGAATTTGCAGAAGATGGGAACAGGATATAGGAGACTGTATGGGATCTTAAATAACCACAAGGCTGCCTTGTCCAGTACCATGAGGATTCCCCGCACCACCAGGTAGATTTCGAAGGGCAACATAGCCTCGTTACCCTTGTAAAGCGCTATTTTAGCATCTATCTTAGCAGAGTTAAAAGCCTCGCCATATTTGGAGTCTTGCACGTGTACAGCAGTTGTAACAGATGACGATTTGAGGATTGGCTATCCATTCAGAATGTAGGTCACAGCCTTGCCTACTGAAACAATTGCGGTTACAGATGATAAGCTATGACTTGCTAAGAGACCCCAGGTAGTCTAGGACAAATGGTAGATGGTGTCTTTGGAATGTGGTCGGGAATGCTAAGGGCGCTAAAAGATACTGGGATCTCATGCAAAGTCACTGCGCCGCATTCATTATAGGAAGGAGCTGCTGGCACGGCTGGCCATTATACTTTCGTACGTGCATAAATTCACAATGCGATTATGCATTGAACCAAATACAGACTTATGAAGATTCCTGTACACTTTCTGATTGGAGTGTATTTTTATCATCACAATCGGGTAGGCACTGCTGTGGATGACGTGCATCACGCAAGGGTACTGCCCAAATGAAAATGCAGAAAACCAGTGCATCGAAGATAATTGAAACATAGCGCGGTTATTTACTATATTTATAGGAATTTCTACACCGTACCTTTGTCTTCCCCAATGGCCTGCGCTGTTCGTAGCGGCCCGGCCCGATGTCAGCCCTGCGAAAGGCATACTCATGCTGCACATGATATTACATGGATGATCGATGTAAGTAGAGCTATACAGTTTGTAACAATAGACCAAGATGCTGTTTTCACTAGTCTAGCAAAGGGCCCAGGAGAACGAATGAATGATGGAGCATATTACTGCTGTTTCTGTTGGAATGGTAACTGGAAAGCCTTCCCAGGTCAATATGGATAAGGTGTGGGCATCTGTGCCTGAATTTTAACCAGATGAGAAAAGGAAATGACGAGAAAATGAAACAGAAATTATAAATCAGCAAAATTACTTTGTCCCGATATACTCAGTTAGCCTAGGACACTACAGTCATGTTGGTCTCGGCCTCGGCAACTTTCGCCGACAACTCCGTCAAACGTCATAACGCCATACTATTAGCAAGAAGAGCTAGTATTTACATCGCATGGAGGATGTCTAACCCTCGTCTTTGACCATGTATAGAACCATATCCCAGAGGGCAAGATATAGAAAAAGAAATGGCAAGTATCACCAAACACGTAGCAACATTAATCCGATCAAAACCAAGTGTACTATTGATCGGCAAACTACATCATTGCAAGAGTGAATGGTCCGAACTCCAAACCAAATACAAAACATATGAGTTCACAGGCAACCGCCAGCAATTCTTACAAAACTGTCAATCCGGAACATGGGATGGGGTTGCAGCACTTTACCGAACAAATTCAACACTCGAGACCGGGCCGTTTGACAAGGAGCTTGTCCACGCCCTGCCGTCGACATTGAAGTTCATCTGTCTCAATGGTGCAGGATATGATGGGATGGATATGAAAGCTTGTACCGAAAGAGGTATACAGATTTCTAATACTCCAAAGGTCGTTGCGGATGCCACGGCCGATGTGGCCATGTTCTTGATGTTGGGTGCGTTGCGCCAGGCTATGATACCTTTAGTATCTATTAGGAAAGGACAATGGAAAGGTGATACGCCTCTAGGCTGTGATCCTGGGGGCAAAGTACTAGGGATTTTGGGGATGGGTGCTATTGGACAGGTGGGTTTATTGACAAGCTACACGTTGCTGCTGCTGGCTTATATGATTGTAGGCTATTGCGCATCGGGCTCGTGCGTTCGGTTTGAATATTATCTACCATAATCGTTCCAAGCTCCCTAGAGATAAAGAAGGTAGGAATACATGCCCTTCTTAGTCCTCAGCAGTACATTAGATTGAGTCAGAAACAGGGGACAGCAAATATGTGACGTTTGATGAACTTCTGCGATATTCAGATATCATCAGTCTTAATTTACCAGCCACAGAGAAAACTCGACATATCATCTCGAAAGCTGAGTTCGAGAAGATGAAGGATGACGTGGTCATTATCAATACAGCAAGAGGCTCGTTACTTGATGAAGCAGCCTTGGTAGAGGCCTTGCAAACAGGCAAGGTTGCTTCTGCTGGATTGGATGTCTTTGAAAATGAGCCGGTCGTCCACCCGGGCCTGCTTCACGACAACAGAGTTATGATTCTACCTCATATTGGGACGACAACACGTGAAACCAAGTGTGAAATGGAGTTATTGACTTTGCGGAACATAGATAATGCCTTGAATTATGACAAGCTGCTCACACCGATTCCAGAACAACGGCAAGACCAGTTCTGAGAGAGGACACATTAGAGAGACAGGAACTCTGTGTTACAGTTGGCATTTTATTAAGTCGTCCTGCTATTAGTATGCATGTAGAACTTCTCTCTCAACGATCACCTCGCAGGGATTTCATGCAGTGGAAACTTGACATCCACCCTTTTTATTATTCTTTATTTCTGTTGAAATCCTGTACTTACATTATACATATCACCTTTGGTTAAAGGCCTGTGCTACAAGATCAGCAGATGATTGTGGTAGGGATTTCATTACCTTCGTCACTCTTCTTCTGCAGGATCGGTTCAACCTCTGGCTAATAATAATAATCGGATTTCATTGTTCAGCATGGGATAAGAAAATAACAAAAAATAACATGTGCATTCTCATGAACCCACAATCTGGCTCTGTTCATAACCCTGATTCAATCACAAAGCTGACCACTGCATGCTTTTATACATACCCCTGCTCCTACACTCACCAACCCCAAATTGTACAGGAAAAGCAAGACATAGCATTATTCATGATCCAGATCACCAACGAGAGCCACCTGAGCCATATCCACCGCCATAACCTTGCCCGTGGCTTTGCCTAGAATCATGCCTGGAACCTTGGTTATATTCAGAGTCATA